TTTTTTTTTTTTTTTTTTTTTTTTTTTTTTTTTTTTTTTTTTTTTTTTTTTTTGCAATAATTCAAGTAGATTGATCTAGATATATAAGTGGCAGTTATCGCTGAGTAACTCTCTTGGTTAAAATGTATATTCTGTAGATATCGAGACTTTCTTTAAATAGACCTAAAAAAACAACCAGAAATGACATCATCATCATCATCAAAATATTCATTTCAAAAACCTAAAGTAGAGTTAACTTTTGTTATCGTAGGAGCAGGATTGGGCGGTGTATCAGCAGCTATTGCCTTGACACTTGCAGGTCACAAGGTGAAGTTGTTGGAAGCAGCGCCAGAATTGGGTGAAGTTGGTGCAGGTATACAAATTCCACCACCATCTACCAAGATTTTGGATGTTTTGGGATGCCTAGATGCTGTTGATGCCGTTTCAATCCATCCGGAAAATATTTACATTCATAGGTATAGCACTGGAGAAGTCATTTCCAAACAAAATTTGGTACCCTATGTCAAAGAGAAGTACAACGGAATGTATTTGCATATCCACCGTGCCGACTATCACCAATGTTTAGTTGAGAGAGCTAAAGAATTGGATGTTGAAATTTTTTTGAATTCAAGAGTTGACACAGTTGACTTTGAAAACGGTTCAGTTACCACTAGTCAAGGTGTTACTCACTTTGGAGATGTCATTGTTGGATACGATGGAGTCAAATCTCGAACTAGAGAACAGTTAACTGGTAAAAGCGATGGAGCTTATAATACTGGTGACTTGGCATATCGTGCATTGATTGATGTTGAAGATATGAAAAAAGTACCTGGCTTGGAAAAATATTGGGAAAAGCCAAGTATTCATTTTTGGTGGGGTCCAACTTTACACATTGTTTTGTATTTCTTACAAGGTGGTAAAACGTGCAACATTGTTGGCTTGTGTCCAGATACTTTGCCTAATAACGTCTTGAGACAGGAAGCCAACCATGATGAATTATTGCAAGTTTGTAAAGATTGGGACCAAGATTTACACAAGATTTTCAACTTGATTGATGATGTTGGAAAATGGAGATTGCAGGATTCAAGAGAGTTGAAAACTTGGGTGCATAATCTGGGTAACGCTATTATCTTGGGTGATGCTTCTCATTCAACGTTGCCTTACTTGGCTTCAGGTGCTTCACAAGCTGTGGAAGATGGTGCTGTTTTAGCAGGCTTGTTCTCTAAAATTGAGTCACGTGATCAAATTCACGAAATCTTGAAGATGACGGAACTGTTGAGGAAATGGAGGAGCTCTCAAGTGGTTCAAGGATCAGCAAACTGTAGAAATATTTACCATTTGCATGATGGCGAAGAACAACAGATTAGAGACTCGAAATTATACGACAAGACTCCCAAATTAGGGTGCCCCAATAGATTTGCTGATCCTGTATTTCAAGATTTCCTTTGGGGCTATAATGCATTTGAAGAGGTTGAAAGAGCATGGACTGAGTACAAAAATGGCAAGATGCCTACTTACACTTATCCAAACTTGTATGAAGAGTAATGTTAATGAATGAAATATTTTTGCAGATTTTGAATCTATCTTTTGTATTTTAATGTATTTATATGACTGTATTATGATAACGTTTAGAATATTAATCTTGAAAGTCAAATCTGTTAGTCAAGTTGCCTAAATACATATCTAGATATGTATGCTTCTCCACCACAGATTGACCAAGAGTTCTGGACATAATATGACGAGTTTTCCTGCTACAAGAAACGAAAAGATTTGAACAAATTCTGAATATTTATCACCGTCTTATAAAGAAAAAAAAGGTAAACTTTACTCTACAACTCTTAATTGTTTCCCCCCACTTCTTCTTCTTCTTCTTCTTCTTCTCCTTCTCCTCCTCCCGCAAGCCTCTTGTCAAGTCTACTCCTTGGAGCAGTCTCTTCCAAAAAACCAAACTTTAGCCCAGTCCAAACAAACGAGCACTTGATTCTTTACCGAAAGACACATGTAGATATAAGCAGATCTCCAAAACAAAAATGTAAAATTACCACCACTGGTAATGTTTGACCAGTTTCCCCAAACTAAATCAGCAACGGCTTTTTCACTTCCGATATATGCCAATGCTCCTTGGTAGTTGTATTGGAATTTAGGTAAATTTTTCTCCAACCTAGCCAATTTTCTAGCCAACGTTTCAGGATTCGCGGTGCTGGCTGAAGGATTCTCAATCTTGTACTTTACTGATTCAATCTCATGCATCTTGCTAAACAACGTTGCCAAGTATTGGCCTTCTTGAAATGCAACTTGTGCCGTTGGAGGGTACTTACTAAAGGAACAGTCACCCAATGCATAGATGTTATCGGTTCCATCTACTTTAAGATACTCATCGATTAACAATCCCCTTTTGGCTTTCTTTTGCTCTTCAACTTTAGACATTAAATCACGAGTAAATGATCTTGTTGCATTACCTGTAGCCCATATTAACACCCCATATGGAATCTCCATAGTTGAAGTAGAACCATCAGGGTTTTTGTGATTTGCAATAAGAATTTTATCTTCAACTCTTTTAACCATAGTATTTGTCAACAATTTGATATTAGTATCTTTGAAAACCTGTTTTGTATAGTCAACCAATTTCTTATTGAATGAGTTTAAAACATTGGGCAATGCTTCAATCAAAGTAACTTTCAATTCCTTTTGAATATCAGGAATCCATTTACTTAAATCTTGATCAATATAGTCTTGTATTTCACCAGCAGTTTCAACACCAGTTGGACCGCCTCCGCAAACAACAACCTGTAATAGTCTTTTACGTTCAGGGTCATTCTTGGGCAAAAGATTAGCAGCTTCAATAACGTCCATCAACCTTTTTCTAATAGTCGAAGCATCACTTATTTCCTTTAAGAAAGTAGAGTGTTCGGCAACTCCCGGTAATCCAAATGTTGAAGGTTGTGCACCAACTCCAACAACCAAATAGTCATAGTTCAAAGTAGTTGTAATCTCGTCAACCCCAGTGTACTCTGCAACAGTTGATTTCGAGGATCCCGTATCCTTACCTGAATGACCAGAATTAACAGTGGTACTTTGTTTCAAAGTTAATTCGTTTTTAGCTGGGTCAATCGAGGTAGCTTCAGCTTCCAAATAAATAACCTCCCCGGGACATCTCCTGGTAATACCTCTAACGGGCTCAATGATAGATCTCGTTTCAACCGTACCAGTGGGCAAACTAGGCAATAACGGAGTAAACAAAAAATAATTTCTCGGTGAAACAATAACAACATTGTATAAAGTAGTATCCAAGTTTTTCAATAACGGGATGGAGCCCCAGCCCGAACCCAATATGACCAATGTCTTTTTCTTCTGCCCGTCTGGGAAAAACGGAGTTTGAGGAAGCTGTTTAACGGGGTTATTTTCTTGATAAACCTTGTATGCAATAGCACCACCGCTGATAACCGTACCTAACAAAACAGCGCCAATTGAATATTTAACAATTCTCCCCAAGGGGAAGGACGACTTTAATGGAGGCCCATACCTATTCCCGCTCTGGTTGGGAGTAAACCTGCCCAATGGGTTGCATTTCACTTTTCCCAAAGAATTAAAAAAACCTCTTGAACCGCTTTTAAACATAGCAACTTATCAAAGGTCTCAAGGGTATGTTTTAGGGCCAAAGAGGCAGCAAAAAGGGGCAAAAAGGCAAAAAGAAAATCTCAATGACCCACTAGCAATAAATACCAGCTAATCCCAACTTAACCAAGAGGTCAATATATATCGATATCTATTTATATGAATAGACGAAACCACCAATCCTTATGACTTCTTTTTCTTTTTTTTTTTTCTTTTTCTGCGGAGTTTTTATGACCGAGAGATTAAGCAAATTAAAGAGCTATCCGGCAACTCGGCGTGATGAAACGGGCTTCCAAGTCCAGTTAAGTTCAAGTACGGCTAAGTTCAAGTCCAGCTAAGTTCAAGTCCAGATTTGGGACAAATATGGACTTGGACCTGGGAATCTCACTACCCTCATACTCTACTCTCATACTCTCATACTCTACTCTCATACTCTTATACTCTACTCTCATACTCTCATACTCTACTCTCATACTCTTATACTCTACTCTCATACTCTCATACTCTACTCTCATACTCTCATACTCTACTCTCATACTCTTATTCTCTACTCTTATTCTCTTATTCTCTACTCTTATTCTCTACTCTCATACTCTACTATTTTCTTTAAAGAAATTCATACTAAAATTCACAGATATATTACACACCTCTATGAATTGATATCTCTTTGAACTAATATCTCTGCTACTATAAGGCGATTCTAGTAAACCCCTTGGTTATTTACGGTAGCGCAAATATAGATCAAAGTGGGAAACAAGCCATTTTGTAAGTTTATCGCGCGGGTTTTGGTTTACTATAGATGGTGTTTAGATGGTGCTTGAAATAGAATCTTGCCATAAAGCTTTTTTGTTGTTTTAATGCAGATTATAAAAGAAACACTAGGTAACTTGGTACCAATAGTGCTCATTCTCTACATATGTATTTATATGTAAAGCTATAAGGAACAAGGAGTTCCTAACCCTAATCCCTTTTCTTTTTTTTTTGTTTTTTCCAACTGTTCAGAAGTTATCAAAAGATAACTCTTAGTAGGTTTTCTCTTCTCTTCTCCCTCGTCTCAATTTCTCTTCATCTTATATGAAGCAGTTCCATCCTTAATGAACTTAATAAACCGATCACCATATTCCCTTGCAGGAACAGCAGAAATAGTACTTCTAGAATGACTCAATGACCGCCAACACGTCTCCAACTTCTTCTTCAAACCATAATGAGTAAGACAATCAATTATACCAAGATAGTAAATTTCTTGTCCAGGCGTATCGTCTGCATTCGTAGCCCGAATGCCTCCGTCATGTCCGTAAAATATATATTTCGAACGCCCCGGGTATACTGAATGGGGCAAGTCTTGAATACGATCAATGTCTCTTGGATTCGTATTGATAAGTGCATTTTTATCCGAAGACTTGGGTTCGAAAACAGAAAGCTTTTGGGCAATATCAGCACTATTTCCCCTCTTGACATCGTGTATCCCAAGCAATAAAGAATAATCCATCACATTGGTTTTCTGAAGAAGCTTCACATCACTGGCTAATTGCTCAAGGAATACATTCCTTTTGGTTGGTCCAAACTCAATCTTTTCTTTCAATTCGAGCCAGTTGAGATCTTTCAAAGTGTACTTTGCCAATTCTCCCAGTCGCGTATCCTCGGGAAACACGGTAGTATATCTACCCCAGGTGGACCCTTTCAAATCAAATTTCAAGTGAATGTCACGATGCGGAGGAAACAAGTTGTTCATAACTACAAAATGAACTTTTCTCGTGCCACCTCCTCCAAACATTGGCATCTTGACACGGTGTAAGCCGTAAAATTGCGATAATAAAGTATTTGGGTTTACCTTGACATGATTGTAATAGTCTTTCAACATTCGTAGTAATTGTTTTTGTTCCAGGTGATGTATTGTTTTAATAATAAATCTATAATCCCTTGAATAGTAAAAAAACGAACCTGACTTTCCAGGTGAGCCCAACTCTGACAAGATGTATTTCCCAGTAATCGAAATAAGATAATCTGCTGGATCGATTCCAAAGATTTGTCTCAACTCTCGAAACACCTCAGGACAATAATCTTTAAATTTGAAATCATACTTTGAACTGGGTGTAAGTTCATTCCCGTCATAATTGAAGGTTAATTTCTTAGTCAGCTTGAACTGTACATCGGTTAGTTGCCGCATTACACCTGAACATCGGCTAACAGCAACTCGAATCCCAGTCAACATATTATATGCCATAACAAAATTTTCATGTCCTTCACTAATCTTATTCCCCACCAATACTTTTTCATCCTCAGTAAATCTTCTTCTGATATTGTGTCTCCGAATCACTATTGAATCCCTCATTCTTCGTATATCACTATTAATACTTTTCCGTGGGTCTTGGTGGGTCGTGGAATTGTTGGTGGTGGCAGCGGCACCACCACCACTACCAGGAAATGTACTTCTTACCTTTGGTCTTTCAATATTCAACGAGTTCCTTGATAATTGTATCGAAGAAGCAGTGTTTGTATTGGAGAAACGCTGAGTGATTTTCTCATTATCAGAAACACGTCGTTGTGATGATGTAGTTCTAGCTGGTGAAGTGTGTCGACGCAATGTTTTGGGTTTATCAAGTGTTGTTGTTGTTGTTGTTGTTGTTGTTGTTGTTGTTTTTGCTGCTGCTGCTGCCGCTGCCGCGTCTGCTGTTGCTATGTGCGGTGCCGCCTTGGGTGTATCAGAAGGAAGGGTATTATTACTTTCCACATGAAATGAGGATTGTGTTGGTTCAATTTGCGTGAGATTTTTAATAGTTGATATGTCTGTATTTGAGTGATTGTTATTACGAGACAATGAATGTGATGGGTCGACGTCGATTGAAAGTCTCATTTTCAGCTCTTGCTTAGTTCCAAATTGAAACTGGAACTCAGAGTGTTCTCCCGAGGGAGTTCTTACTTGTCTTGTGTTGATAAGTACTAGCTCATTTGGCGGTGTTCCTTCGAGATTCTCTACTGAAGACGGTACAGTATCATGAGAAATATCAGAAGATTCCGAGCGTGATCCTTTGAAGGACGTTGGTGTAGAGGGTGATTGGCGATTTGCTGTACGTGGATCATCAGGCAATAGTTCCTCGCTGCTTGATACTTTGAGCAAACTATCTCTCTTTTCCTCTTTTAAGTTGATATCATCCTGTTGTCTCAAATTTTGCAAGGTTAGCAACGGTAGCGGTAGTTTTAACGTTTCTGTTGTTGATTCTGTTTGACTTATTTTACTTGAATGGTTTGAAACTTCAATAGAAGCGTCATCCTCGTTGCTGTTGCTGTTATTCAGTTGTATCATGTTCTTTGTGGGTTCACGATGATCATAGTTACAGCTTGAGCTTTGACAACTATTACAGTGATTGGAGTGCGCCGACGTATACGATGTAGTGGTTCTTGATGAAGAAGCAGACGAAACGGAGGAGGAACAAGATGATATCAAAGTATTCCCGGTAACGTTCCTCACCTCTAGTCTATCGCTCATCATTAAGTTAGTCTTGTCATCTAGCTTAGATATACGACTATCTCGCGCCCTATTCTGTGATAACCCTATCATAAGTCTACCTTCACTTTTGAAATGTTAGCAATAAAGCTTTACCATATAGGAACCGACCCAATAAAAGTAACGACCCAATAAAAGTAACAACCGTCTCACGCTGACCCTGTTCACCTGAAAAAAAAAAAAACCCAAAAAGCCTGCCGGATTCTATAACTATTTGATATCTCCTCAATATAATGAATATCAACCAACTACTCCCTTCCCCTAGCGGTATTCTCTGTTCTTTCAACTAACCCAAGAATGTTAATTTATCAATCCTGTTTGATTTTTTTCCCTTTTTGATTTTCTGTTATTCATATAACACTTGGTAGCGGTGTTCATTAGTCGAAGAGGTGAAGGGGGGGACCTTACCTTACCTTACCTTTGATGGAGGAGTTGGCTTTGATTGGAAGGGATTGGCTTTGTTGAGAGGTGTAGGAAGGAGAGGAAGGGGGCTGAGTCGGTTAGAGTATCTTGACCGGGTCTATAAAGTGTGAACTGTAACATGTTTTGAAAGTTGCCGTCCTGGTTTTCTTTTTAGTAGGTATTTGTAATGTAACCAGAGACAATAGAAACACAGAAGTGAAGATAGACAATTATAACGAAGGAATATAACACTATGAGGAAGAAATATAGTCCTATGACGAAATATGTAGTCTCTTGTTACAGTAAATTGGGCTCAAACGTTGATTAGTTTCTGATGATTTCTAACTACAAGGGCATATCAGCTCGTGAAGGGTTTTTCGTTTGGTATAGATGTTCCTATTCAGTTGAATAAATGCAACTATCGTGCAACACTAGCAACACTAGCAACACTATCGAGCAAAGCGAGATAGTGTTGTAGCAAGCTACTGAGTATTGCTCAATTATCATGCTCTGCTCGATTTGTAACAAGCTACTGAGTATTGCTCAATTATCTTGTTTTGCTCGATAGTGTCGGTCGATAGTGTTGTAGCAAGCTACTGAGTGTTGCTCCACTATCTCGCTCTGCTCGATAGTGTCAGTCGATAGTGGAGCACACCGCAAGGCTTGCGAGGCTCAAGTTTGCCTTTTCATTTTTGTTCCATTTGCATTCTATTGTTAAATTGAGAGGTGCTGCTTGAGAGTCGTATTGTTTTAGCGAAAATAAGGTTTGATTGAAAGTGATGATATTCACTTTGCAATCTCGCGTTGATAGGTACAAATTACTGGTGAGTAGTAGAAGTGGTTACATACTGTAACATTGAAGCATAGAGAATTTTACCACCTGTTTGTTTTGCTTGCTACATATTACGCAAAAAGTTGACTAGCTAATTACTCGTAGCTAGGAGTAATTGTGAAAAGGGCCCGACGAACAACACTAACAACACTATCGAGCAGAGCGAGATAGTATTGTAGCAAGCTACTGAGTATTGCTCAATTATCTTGCTCTGCTCCATTTGTAACAAACTACTGAGTGTTGTTCCACTATCGAGCAAAGCGAGATAGTGGATTGGCGATAAACTGGCATTCAACCTATTGATATTATCTAGCGCTGAATCAACACTCGTTTTACTCGATAGTGGAGCAATACTCAGTAGCTTGTCATAATACTCAGTAGCTTGTCATAATACTCAGTAGCTTGTCACAACACTCAGTAGCTTGTCACAACACTCACACTCAGTAGCTTGTCACAACACTCACACTGAGTAGCTTGTCACAACACTATCTCGCTCTGCTCGATAGTATTGCTAGTGTTGTTACTAACATCTACATTCAAACCCTGCACTCATGTAAGTTGACAATTGCATTTTTATCGATACATTGTCTAACAATAGCACAAATCCCATTATTCAACACCAGTGCTTGAAATTGTGCATTATGTGCATGACTTCTAGATCCAAAGGATAAGTATGGATAGATACTGTCTGCATTAGAGTAAACTTGATACTGCTACTCCCCCCCTCCCATTAGAAAGTACAACACTTTGTAGCTTGTTACAATATTGACTAGCTTTGATAGACTATCTCGCTCTGCTCGATAGTCTATAGTCTATAGTCTATAAAGTAGTTGATAGACTATCTCGCTCTGCTCGATAGTCTACTTGTTACCACAAGTTGTGATACACAAGGTATCTTACTTGCTCCCCCAAGAGGTCTCTAGAGTAAATAAAAACACTATTAAATTCTAGATTGAGATGGAGATCAAATATATTTCGGTTCGAGTTCTCGGTTCGAGTTCCGAGAATAGCGAAAAAATTGTGAAAAATTCCAAAGATTATTGAAGATTATTAAAAGACTATTGAAGATTAGTAACAAAAGTCGCTTGAAACTAGGTAGGTTTGTTTCCACCACGGCGTTTATGGTAGAAAGCGATAAGTTAAAAACTTTAGATCTTCAAAAACCCCCAATAGCTAACTTGCATTTTGTGTTCTTTTTCCCTTTGTCCCCCTTTGCACCAAAATAGATTGATCTCATCGCTTCCAAAATGGCAATACTAGATAGATTCTTCGCCAATGGTGAAACCTCAAACAAACCATCAATAACTCAACAAATAGAAGGAAAGGGGTTTGAAATTAGTACTTGCTCAGAAACATGCGATAACTGTACAGCAACATTTCCCAAATCTATTAAATATGAAGAATCAGAACCATTGTGGCATTCAACAAAACCATATGGTTTGCATTTGAACATAGCCACTGGTAAAACGGATTGGCCGCATGATGCTACTGGGACTGTGGGCACCTTATCCAACGCAATAGCTAACTGGGCCTCACAACATGCAAATATGACCAAATTAGGTAATATCAAAGTATCATGTTGTTCTCTTGGTGGTGATTTACTCTTCACCGATGATGAGTATGCTAAAGAGCAAAAGGGTGATATTTTAATTTTACCCCATTTCTTATGGCTTCGAGGTGTTTCCATACTGCAAGTTGATGAAGTCTTCACTACATTGCTCGATTTGCTTGTACGGGAACCTAAACCTGCAACGATTGAAGAATTACAAACGGCGATTCCACAACTAAGTATAGATGAAAACAGAGCATATGTGTTTTTTTGCTCTCACAGAACAAGAGATAAGAGATGCGGAATTACTGCACCAATCATGAAGAAGGAACTTGATCTAGTTCTTCGAGAAAAGGAATTATATCGAGATTATGGCGATAAAACACCCGGTGGTGTTCAAGCAGCGTTTGTTAACCATGTTGGCGGACATAAATTTGTCGCTAATGTTATAATTTACTTAAAACCCAATGGAAAGAATATTTGGTTGGGGTTGTGTAAGCCGAACAATGTCAGACAGATTGTTGATGAATGTATCTTGGCTGGTGGAAAGGTGTGGCCTGATAAAGTTCGATTGGTGCAGAAATTCAACCCTGTTGAGTGGTAAAGGTGAGGTGAAGTTGAAAGGGGGAGGGGAGAGAGAATATAGATAGAAGGTCATCATTAGAAAACTAATTTATATAAATTGTAGAAAAGATTAAATTGTTTTGTTTTATTCGTTACCTCTATCTATGTCTATTACTGTCGTCTATGCAAATACAACTTTAACAGTTTTAGTATATTTTGTCTTTTGGTAAGGGAATCAATAGTTACTCCATCCAACTGATTAGCATCATTCTTCAAGATTTGTTCGATTCGGGTTTTTTCTAAATCAATGTACAGCTGATCAATAATCAAACTCTCTAAAATGGATTTGTAAAAAACAATACTTTCATTATCTTCAAGCATTTCTAGTTCCTGTAACAACTCGATTGGATTCATTTCCTTTTTAAATTTGTCACTAATATCATTGATTACCCCAGCACCAGATTTCAAACCACCCAGTAAATCACGAGCTGATCCGGTAAACAAATTGATCGCATCAACTAATTTTTCAAGACTCTTTTTACTACCGTTATAAACCACTGGATTTTCAAGATCTTTGTTTTTAAAGAAAATCAAAGTAGGATATGATTGAACGTTGTACCTTTGTGGTACAATATCCCCATTTTCAAAATCATCCACTACAAATTGTCCGAATAAAATCTTATTATTTTCCCTTGCAAAGGCTGTAGTAGCTAATGACTTAAATAATCCTTTGAAATCCTCACAAAATGAACACCAAGTAGCACCAATAGAAACAATAGCAAATGGTTTACTTTGAATTTGCTCATCAAACAGTTCCGGTGTCAATCTAACGACATCTTGCACAATTTCCTTTTTACTCTTTGCTTCTTCTTCTTCCTCTCCCTCTTCATTCTTTTGTTGCTCTAATCTGATTCCACTCAACTGTTGGATAAAATTACTAAAAGCGGTAACATCCCTAGCCCCATTGAACTCTACTTTCTCGCCCAGATCATTATTGAAAAACAATAAAGTAGGATATCCAACTTCAACATATTTTTTACTCATCTTCTTGCCATCTTTATCACCATTGATTTTGACTATTTGAACCTCGGGATGATCGGCAAACAACTCCGATAGTTGGTCAATCATAGGGTGGACCTTCTTACAATGACGACACCAGTCTGCATAGAAATCAACAAATGTAAATTTCCCTGGTTGGGTGATGATTTGGTTGAAATTCTCATCATTTGCAAGAATGACTTTCGATTGAGTGTATATTGCTTGTACTATGGCTAAAATGTGTAGAAAAAAGAATACTGCGAGCCGCATGCTTCAATAGTAGCTGGATTCTCAATAGCTGGCTGGCCGAATGGTCCCTAGGAGGCAGAGCTGGCTGGGTTGTTACTCTTTATATCTCCAACTTTCTTTTGAGTCGTTGGTTAAATCACCAGAAAATGAAGTGTCACGTGATTCAACTGAAAAATTTAGCGGCTACCATGTGTTGTTATATTTGCACCCATTTTCTACTAAGCAAATAACTTAGCGGCACTCTCGGGCGGTACTAGCGGGCGATAGACACTATCGGGCAGAGCGAGATAGTGAGCAGCGCTTAGCAGCTTGTTACAACACTACACCCCTAGCCAGTGGAGCATTTAGTAGCTTGTTACAATACTACGGCCCTAGTGAGCAGCACTTGGTAGCTTTACCCACTAGAGTATTAGAGGTTGGATATATTTGTCTAAACAATCTTTGGTTGTACTTGGAGTGACACAATCTCGCTTTGCTCGCTGGTGGAGCACTTTGTAGTTTGTTACAACACTATCGAGTAGAGCGAGACAGTGTTGATAGTGTTGAATAGTGAACAATTTTTCTATTTTATGTATTTTTTTGCACCCATTTCTAGTAAAAAATTATTAAAAGGTAATCTCTCCATTCTATATATATCAAAAAAAGACACATTTTCAATCATTGTATGAGATAATCTTGTCTAAAACAATCTTTGGTTGTACTCGGAGACAGCGACACTAGCGAGCGACACTAGCGAGCGAAGCGAGATAGTGGGGCAACACTAATTGGTGTCGCTGGCAGCTAATTGGTGTTGCTGGCTCTGCTCGATAGTATCGCTGGCAGCTAATTGGTGTTGCTGACTCTGCTCGATAGTATCGCTGGCAGCTAATTAGTGTTGCTCCACTATCTCGCTTCGCTCGCTAGTGTCGCTCTGCTCGATAGTGCCCCCCCCCCCCCCCCCCCCCCCCCCCGAGCCTTTAAAAGTCATCAAATAATATACAAGGAAATTCACGGAAAAGAAGCAAAAAAAAAAGAGATAAAAATTCAATATACAATCATTAGGATTTGTCTATAAGTTACACACGAGGAGAGCGGTTGAGATAGTTCAAATGTCAACTGAATATGAGGACCAAAAGTGGATTATACCACTGGTGGGGAAAAACCTTCCAATCAAACGCTGTAGAAAAAATGAAAAAAAAAAAATGAAAAAAATAAAGGGTAAACGTTGGCAAGATCATAGTTGTTGTAGTAGACACCTTTATCACCGTTTTTTCCTCACTTGTCACTTTCCGTTCTTTGTTGAGCTTTCTTTACTTTGTCTCTTCTATCGCATTTTCCACCGGTTCGGGGGTTTCATCCTCTTTGTTATATTGATAAACACAGAACCGGTATCCTTGAGCTAACTGAGCCAACTCATTGACAAAATGACACCCAAACAACAAGTAGTTCTTAGGTCTGACAGCTAAAGCGTAACGCATAAACACGCACGAGTAAAGAATCAATGATCCTGTCATTGGTCCTGAAATCCGGTCAGGATCCTTTTTCAAGTCCATCATTGCCGCAACTGGTATACCGAAATTACTCACAGGCCCCCAGAAATGCGTGGTGCACATATATCTTAGGACTTTCCTAAAGGTAGACTGTGCAGATGACATTGTATAGGATAAAAAAAAAGATTGATATGTGGGGTCAGGTCACCGGTGTGGACAACTTGCAATAAGAATGCGTCTGTATGCTTTGATTCTAAGAAAGATTTTAACCAGCCAAAAGTTACGTTATCAGCTTTCAAAACAACTCAAGTAGGCGGGTATTGAATAAGAATAGATAGGTGTAATATAACTATAGAATAAAAGTTATCCGAAAATTCGTTGAAAAGTCATTTGGTGAAATTTCAATTTTTTTTTTTCGCGGGTAGAAACAAAAGCGTTGAAGTTGGAAAGGGATGGGGAAAGAGATTACATATACTTTGAAAAGAACAGGAATTTGACGGTTCGAGTCACGTGGGACAATAGAGAGGGGCGTAACTGTTATTTGACAGCTCAAACATGTAGAAAGCTGAGCTTGAGCCGAGGTGGATAATCAACTCTTCCTATTCGACGCCATACTGAAAAAAAAAGAGGGGGAAAGGCGCGAAGGGTTTTATAGCGGCAAGAAAAATAACTCCGAGCTATTGAAAAGCCCTCTAGCGAGCATAGCGAGCTAGAGTGAAAAGAAAGTCGCTTTAGCGATTTTCTTTTCATCTGCTGATACTGCTTACCCTCTAGCGAGCATAGCGTGCTAGAGGTAAGGAGAAAAATGGCGCTCACCTCTAGCTCGTTATGCTCGTTAGAGAGGAAGAGGAAGAATGGCTCTAGCGACTTTCTTTTCATCTGTTAATACTGCTTACCCTCTAGCTCGCTATGCTCGCTGGAGAGGAAGAGGAAGAATGGCGCTTACCTCTAGAGAGCATAGCGTGCTAGAGAGAAAGGAGAAGAATAGCGCTTACCTCTAGAGAGCATAGCGTGCTAGAGGTAAGGAGAAAAATGGCGCTCACCTCTAACTCGTTATGCTCGTTAGAGAGGAAGAGGAAGAATGGCTCTAGCGACTTTCTTTTCATCTGTTAATACTGCTTACCCTCTAGCTCGCTATGCTCGCTGGAGAGAAAGGAGAAGAATAGCGCTTACCTCTAGAGAGCATAGCGTGCTAGAGAGAAAGGAGAAGAATAGCGCTCACCTCTAGCTCGTTATGCTCGTTAGAGAGGAAGAGGAAGAATGGCTCTAGCGACTTTCTTTTCATCTGTTAATACTGCTTACCCTCTAGCTCGCTATGCTCGCTGGAGAGGAAGAGGAAGAATGGCGCTTACCTCTAGAGAGCATAGCGTGCTAGAGAGAAAGGAGAAGAATAGCGCTTACCTCTAGAGAGCATAGCGTGCTAGAGGTAAGGAGAAAAATGGCGCTCACCTCTAACTCGTTATGCTCGTTAGAGAGGAAGAGGAAGAATGGCTCTAGCGACTTTAACACAATAAAATAAATATATTTCAATTGTGTACCTATATGATTGTCAACACCAAACCACACGGATTTGATTGAATTTAATTCCTCTACCTTTGCTGTTGCTGTTGCTGTTGCTGCTGTTGCTGCTGTTGCTGATTATTACTGATGTTACTAGAAAAATTACCACTATTATTCTGATATTCATTAAGATTGTACCCAGTTTGTTGAGGAAACAAATATCCACTACTCATGAAACTCGACGATTGAGCCAATTGTGGTTGCTGTTGCAGTTGAAACAGAAGCAATGACGGCAAGGACTGCTGTTGCTGACGTTGTTGTTGTTGCTGTTGTTGTTGCTGTTGCTGTTGCTGTTGCTGTTGCTGTTGCTCACGAGACCTCTGTCCTTGTTGTATTGAATTTACTACTGAAGGTGTTAGAATAGGTGGTGGCAAAACTCCTCTGCCCTTACGAGCATTATCAAGCACAACATTAGAACCAATATTCGAGATCCTTGATTTAGAAGGACTTACCTGTCTCATTGCATTTATATCATTCCAATTTGAATAATTTGCTTTCAAGCCAAACATATCAGGTGCTGGTTGTGATTGCATTGACGCATGGCTAGAAACTACTGGTACACCAAGGACTGAGTTTGATTGGTCGTTGCGGGAAGTGTCATTACCACTATCGCTATTACCACCACCACCACCACCATCACCACCTCCTCCTCCTCCACCTCCATTGCTGTCATCACCTTCCCCATCTTTTTCAACGCCTCCTTCCTCTTCACTATCTCTACCACTAGACGTGCTACAAGCATCATTTTTCATCAGCAGTGATTGTGGATTAAATTTAAACCCAGCAATATACTTTTGTTGTTGTTGCTGCTTATTAAGATCATCAGGTGGCGGAGATCCCATGTAGTATGGTAAATTATCAGAAACTGTCAACCAAAATGGATCATTTAAATGAAATCCATTGAGATATTCAAACTGTGATGGATCTCCAAATGGGTTTGTATTGAGCAAATACGATAAATTACCCCTTGCTGTTGTAATTGGAAGGTTAGATTGAGAAAAATTATCTGGTGATGAATAATTATTAGATTTGGAAGATGAAGAGGATTTACTATCATCAACAGCTGTTGATGATTTCTGTTTCCTCAACTCGTCTAGAACCAAGTCATCTTCTTGTTTTTCATAAATTAGTTTAATGAGATTCAATACGCGATTGATCAAGTACACCATATTGGACGACCACATTCTAGATGTTGTAATGTATTTGGTTGATAATCTCTGTTCAAACTTTAATAAGGAATTTAAATTAGTCTCAATCAAGGATAAAAATTCATTATTGAGTGGTGAGTTCGAGTCATTGGCAACAAAATCCTTTGACTTGTAATGAAGTAAAGTAAAAACAACAATTACACCTTGGCATAAAAATGAATTGACAAATGGGAAATACGTCTTGAACAATTTACCAAATTTAACAGGACCAAAATTTAAAACTTCTTGATTACCACCATTATCTGTGCTCTTTGAATCCTCTTCACCTAAAATAACGCCACTATTATTTGTACCACCTCCACTTGTGCAACCAACATCTCTCAAGTTAACACTAATATATTGTTTCAAAAATGTCTCAATGAAGTTGTTTAATAATGTCAAAAATTTGGAAACTGAATCAATTTGATTTCGAATAATCTGATCATATCCATCAACATTTTCAAATTTGCTAATAAATGGTTCGTGCAATTTGGCATTGTTGATGTATAGCACAATTATATCTGACAACAACTCCAAGCTAGATATTTTGGATGCTTGCCCCGTATAATCGTCATGAGTTAGAGTGTCTCCTTCACTACTATAAGCGGGTGATTTTTTGTCTTCCTCTTCATTGCCAGATGTCGTCATCGTCGTCGTCTTGGTGACTTCCTCGTTGTAAGCAGCTTGGAGAAGATCAATTTCACTATTAAACTTCTTAGACATATCGAGTAGATCAGATATTTCGAAATCGAGCATGAAATTCTCAATCAACATCAAATTGGACAATTTTAACAACTCGGAAACTCCAATCTTCAATAAGATATATACGTGTTTATTCAAAATCACACTGCCCAATCCGCTAGTCGAGCCTTCCATTCCAACTTGTATTGAGATTGGATTTGGTCTACCAAATATTGAACAAACAACAGAAACATAAAATTTCAAGGCAAACCATAGCCTATAACGGCTGATATCCAGAGTCGTATCGGGCATTTTATCGTCTTCTTCTGACCCGGAAAAGATTTCCTTTTTATCGCTCACATCTGAATCCTCAGCAGTGGCACTTATCAAATTGGTAAGTTGTTGTTTCTGTGAATTGACATTTTGCAACTTATGATTGCCCATGATATGCAATCCAATAGAAAATGAAATTGAACAAGCATGAAACATCATTGCCCAGCACTGCTCATACTTTTGTTCCAAAAAATACCATTCAATGCATAAGATATAAGATTGTATCGTCATCAATGACTCATTGATCAATCCCCTTCTTAATTTCTCAAAATTCTTGTGCAAAATATTCCTAGTCAAAAATTTTCTATACTTTGTGCAAGTACTAATAGAACCAGCAGGTAACAAATTCAATTCAACAAAATCCTTGGGACTCAATCTCTGAATAGATAGGCTTAATATCATATAAACTAGTAATAAATCATCATCGTTATCCCAATCTCTATCACTTATCAGTTCATAGTTTTTCAAGAATTCAAATACTTGACGACCAGAAATAAATGATCTGTAATACGGATTTCGCTCAAAAAATCTCTGGACTAAAATGATGACAACTTCGAAATTCAACTTGAAAACATCTTGATACGTTTCTGAGTCGGCACTTACATCGGGATCATCATATTTCAATAGATATGAAAGCAATATGGGTATTCTTTTCTTCTTGCTTCGTCTTTCAGCCATACTATTGGACTTTACAGACTCCTGTGTTTGATATGTATCGATATCCTTTTCCCAATCATTGGTACTACTCTCACCATGAGATAACGACTTAGAGCTATTACGCTGTTTCAACTTGTGCATTTTCCTTTGCTGGGGTGTATTCTTGGATTCTCTTGAAAGAGACTGTGCTTCGGATGGTACAGGTTGTTCACCAACTTCATCGCTACTACTTCCGCCTGATGAAGCGTTGAAAAACTCCTTGCCTCGATGACTAGATAGGGGTTCCGATACGTTTATGGAGTACATTCCTTTGTTGGCACTAGCTGAATCATTAGGAAAGCTAGCTTTCGAATGACCAAAAAAACCAACCTTTTCCTTCTTGTAAGGCAAATCATCCGATGACGAATCTGATTGTCTATCTCGCTTATTAGCAATACTGCTACTGCTAGGATTACCATTGTTCGATGCTGTTACTTTTGAATCAGGACTATCGTTATCAGATATTGAAAATTTATTCAAAAGCTCTTCCAATCTTTTGTTCAATTCCTTATTCTGACTTAACAATTGCGAATTAGCAGCTCTCATCATGTCAAAATCTTCCTTTAATGTAACGTACTCATTTTGATCGTTGCTGGTATTTCTACTAACAAGTGAAGGAGTGGGGTGTAACAGTAGCATTGCCAGACCCAGACCCAGACCCAGACCCAGACCCAAACTCAGACCCAGACCCAGACTCAAGCTAAGTCCTGCTGTATTTAGTGTTGACTTTGTACTATTTTTTGATAAAAAAGTGTTATTTGTACTTGAATCCAGTTTAGATTCAGAAGATGATTCTGTACTATCTCCCAACATTTTAATCCTATTCTCCAAATCAGATGTTCCACTTGTTGAAATTGAATTTCTCTCTGTATGAACTGTTGTTACTGAATTCGAAGTTGAGCTGGCGCTGGACTCATTATTAGTATGGACACTCTCGGAATTATTATCTTGATTTGTTGGATGAGAAGGTAATCGCAAATTGCCACGCATGTGGCTTTGATTTATAGTATACAGTTGAAGCGTCTGTTGAAGTTGTTGACTGCGGAGCTGTTGTACGTGTAGTTCCTTTTGTTGTTGTTGTAGTTGATTCAGACTATGCTGAAGTTGCTGTTGTTCAAACTGATGCATTGGCAGAGGCATCGGCATTGGTAAATACAGCTGTTGCTGTAGTTGCTGTTGATGTGAAAAATACTGTCGTGGTAGTAATTCCGGTACCGGCTGGTTTGCTAAGTGCAAGCAATGTTGATGATGTTGCTGTTGCTGATGCTGATGCTGATGCTGATGCTGATGCTGATGCTGATGCTGTTGCTGTTGCTCATGTTGCTGTTGTTGCACAAGTTGTGAGAGTTGTGGTAGCTGCTGCTGCTGCTGCTGTGGAAGTTGAAGTAGCGTTTGCTGTTGTTGTTGCTGTTGTTGCTGTTGCTGCTGTTGTTGTTGCTGTTGTTGCTGTTGCTGCTGTTGTTGCTGCTGTTGTTGCTGCTGTTGTTGTTGTTGTTGCACCTCTTCTTCTTCCTCCTGCAGCAGCAGCAGCCGCTGCTGCTGCTGTAGCAAATATTCCCTTTCTTGATATATGCTTGGCTCCTTTTCAATATTTGTCTCATTTAGGTCAGCATCTGCAAATTTGATATTCCTAAAAGTTGCAGGAAACTCACATTCTACTTGTCTCTTGACACACTGATCACAAGGCTTCTTCTTATTGCATTTGATTTTTCTTCTCCTACAAGAGATACACGATATTGGTAGTGTATCAGATATTGGTAGGGTATCAGACATTGTTAGAAAATGTGCAAAATGCGTATTTCAGTTGGGGGGGGGGGGGGGGGGGAGTGAAAACTATCCCTTTCTTCTTGGCCGGTGTAAGTTTATAGTGAAAGTATTTCACTTTCTAAAACAAGTTAGTATAGTTCCAAAGGTATCCACAACAAATTGCTAAAGCTCTGAACCTTCTAAATCTCTGAACCTTTTAAAGCCCTGAACCTTTTAAATCTCTGAACCTTCTAGATCTCCAATACTCTTAACTATTTGGAAATGTTCAAAAAAATTTGAACTCTAGGGGGGGGGGGGGGGGGGTGTATTGCAAAAACCTGCAAGATCCTGTAAGATCCTGCAAGATCAGTCGATTTTGTCAGAACGACACAGTTCACGGAGTCTCAACTTGGCTTTCTTTGATAAATGAGCAAATGTAGCCGTTTCTTTAGGTTAACATTTGTACGTCTGGGCAAAAACACATAGGCATAAGCCCAAATAGACTGAAAAAACAAAAAAAAAACACAGTGCTATTAATCACGTTTTTTCAAGAAATGACCAATTCTTATCACTGATCCTTTTCACTGAAAAACTGACGTGGATATCATCATCTTTATTCAGCTTTTTTGAAACAATGTCTCAAAATAACGGAAAAATAAACGGAAAAATAAACGGAAAAAACTTTAGCCGAGGGGATAGGCGAAGCGAAAAAGTGAACATACGGGGGCTTGATAGGTGAACCACACATTACTGGCTTTGCTAATAAATCTGATCTGGCCGATATCAACAATCAACCCCGTGTTGTTTGTCTTCAAATGGGGTTTCTGGAAACACCTTATTTGTGCTACTAATCCACTATTGCCCTTCTTTAACAACCTGACAACCTAACAACCTTTGAAACAAACAAACAAAGGCGGCCTCATCTAAGGGCTCATCATCTCAAAAAAGTCGTGTAACTTGGTCTCTGATTTTCATGTCAGATCACGAGGTCGTGTATACATGGTCAATTGGTAAAAAGCAGTATGTGTATGTGTGTTCCCAGTATGTGTCTTTGGGCGTGTCGTGTCCCCAGTATGTGTCTTTGGGCGTGTCGTGTCCCCAGTATGTGTCTTTGGGCGTGGCGCATGTACCTCATGATGTTTGCTATCTTAAAAAAAAAAAAAATAAAAAAGTTCGTTCGGGGTAGTGCGCCTTCTACCCCGTTAGGTAAAGGTTGGCGGGACGAAAAACAGTAACAACTTATATAGTGTGATGAACGGTAGCGCATATCTTTTTACCAAAGTGAAAGCTGTGTATGACAGCTAGTGATGCTCCACTATCTCGCTCTGCCCAATAGTGTCGAGCAAAAATTGCGTACAAAGAAGGTCAATGGAGCTTGTTCAGCATGTTGGTTTGAAGAGAAAACCAAAAAAAAACAAAAAAAAACACATACCTTTGCAAAATGACAATTTGTACTGCTATAGTTGATTTTCTGAGTAAAAATGAAAAAAATTGTGAAAAATCTGAAAAAGAAGACTTTGTTCATGTTGGGAGAATCCCTGCTTCTATTTATTTGATCCAACCATGGCGGATGAGCCGTTAAATTGTTATTATAGGAGTGAGACAAAATCTTGCCTTTCATGTATGTTTTACATTTACACCCCCTGTCTCTGTTTCTCTGCTTTCCCCCCCCCGTAATTGGAAGAACATAATGTCTTAGTCATAATGTCTCAGACTTAAAATAGCTTATTGTGTAAGAAACAGCTCTTGCAACTGATAAAGGCGTTTAAAATGTAAGACAATTCACTTGGAGTAAACATTCAGTGGCAAATGACACGGGTTTGTCGACTATTGACTGCAATTGAGGTAAAAGAAAGCTTGCTGACTATCAACTGCAATTGAGGTAAAAGAAAAAGAAAATTTTTTTTTTCAAGTTTACCATTGAAAAGCCGCTGAATGCACCAGTTGCATATTTTGTTCATGCAAAGACAAAGTGTCACCTAAGACAATGATTTTCGGGAATTCAAAACTTCTCAAGGAGGAAAAAGGTGAGGGGAAAGAGAGAGAGGGAGTTTGTGCTTATCCATGGAAACTATCAGCGGATATAGACGATCCATGTACCAAACGATCACCAGTACTTTTTTTTTTTTCATGTTATCAAACCCATGTATTGTTTCGCGTAAAATTGTAGAACCAAATTTAGACAAATTTGCTCGGCCCTTGCTTCTACTCTTCGCTCTTCTTGCTTTGCTCTTTGCTTTTACTTTAGCTTATTGTGACAATAAGATTTAATGCAGGTTAAAAAGTAGTTCGATCATAATGTGCATGCACTTCCCCAATGCTTCTTTATCGATTTTGCGTACTATCGAGCAGAGTACGATTAAATATTAATAATATATAATCAATATAGTTTACACACTGACTAGCTGCCCACTATCGAGCGGAGCGAGATAGTGGAGCACAATTAAATACCAACAGGTTGTAGCTTGTTACAACACTATCGAGTAGAGCGAGACTAGCTGCCACCGTGTGTACAATGAATATCTGAATTTGCGCTAGCTTCTAATAGTGTAGCTTCAATATCTTAGCTTCTAATATCGTAGCTTCTAATAGTGTAGCTTCAATATCGAAGCTTCTATTTATTTTCTACCGATACCTTGCATCCACAGGCTACATTTTCGCATTTAAGAAATAGAGTACATCAACTGAAATCTTATAAATATCTCCGATACTTTGTAAAAAAAGATCTGATTAGAGGGAAATAGATATGGTATCAAAACCCTGTGAGATTGCACAATACACCAAGTCGACTGCATACTTTGCACTGTAAATGAAATAAACAACTTTGAAAAAGAAAAGAAAAAGAATGTATCGTGTTTTGTACCAGATATTCTCATAAAAATAAAGTGAAACCAATCGGTTCTTACAATAACAAGTAATCACAAATACATTTGATCACTTTGATTGTGAAACTTTGGAAGCATTTCATATACACTACACTACCACTATACACAATAAACTCTATACAATAAACTCTATACAATAAACTCTATACAATAAACTCTACACCCTATATATTGCCTACTCTTATTACTTATGCCAACCTTTAGACTCGGTTCTTACTGGGTCATAAATGAAATCCAATAGATGCTTCAAGAGATGGTATAATCAACAACTGCTTTTTAATCTTACTAATAACAATGATATATACTAATACGTTACTTGTTATGTACTAGAGATTACATAAATTCAATTGCAATTTTTGCTCTACCATATGTATCACTGCTACCATACATCATCAAAAATCTTTCCATCTGCTACCATTTCCCAATAGAGAAACTTACTCCTGATTAACCCCGACCAAAATTCCGAATCTCCAAAAGGAGACTTTTTCATTCCAGTAAAAATGTCGTGTACACTTTTTGAACAGTTTACACGCTCATCTCATGACTGGGAAAATATTTCCCAATTTGGAAATCCACCAAAATGTATCAGCGTTTTGTTCATCTTTGACCTTCAACCTTCAAACTTGAAAGGGAAGAGGGCTATATACAAGGAAAAGTGATTATTGGTGATGCCGCGTTTAGAGGACTCTGAGATTAAAAAGTATTGGGAGATTTTTCAAGGATTGAAACCGTCTGATAACAAAATCAGTGGTGATAAAGTTGCTCCAGTATTGAAAAATTCAAGATTATCACAAGAACAACTATCTCAAATATGGACCTTGAGTGATATTGATGGCGATGGGAGTTTGGACTTTGAGGAGTTTTGTATAACAATGAGATTGATCTTTGATTTGGTCAATGGCTCAATTGCTCAAGTGCCGCTGCAATTACCCTCGTGGTTGATTCCGTCGAGCAAGGCAGCATTGATTCAAGCTAACCAAGCGGTTAACCTGGGTAGAAACATAGGAATGGAATTTGACGATGACGATGATGGTTTAACCGACGATTTCGACTGGTATATATCTCCACTGAACAAAGCAACATATGAAACCATATACCAATCGAAAAACGATAACTTTGGTAGGATCAAATTTGATTCATTAAACTCCTTGTATGCAACTTTAAATAATGTCCCCGCTAGTGAAATCTCCTCGGCCTGGAACTTGGTCAATCCTAAAAGCTTTGAAACCATAGACAAGGATCAAACTATTGTATTCTTACATATTTTAAACCAAAGAGAAAATGGTAAGAGAATACCTCGCGGTGTGCCTGCTACATTGCGAGCTACTTTTAGTAAAGAAGTACCTAATTACAACTTGGACGCACAAGCAAAGCCCAAGCAAACCACACAGACACAAGCTTCAAAAAGGTCATTTGCTGAAGAATACTTGAATAAATTGGGACATTCAAGTAACAGCAATAGTGCAAACGAAAAAGGTACTGATTTCTCAGCAACGCAAGGAACAGATTGGGAGGAGGTTAGGTTAAGGCGAGAATTGGCCGATTTGGAAAACTTGCTAGAAAAAGTTCAAAGCAAAGCCAAAGATGATAAAAAAATGGATGATGAAGAAAGAATGGTAAAGTATGAATTCGAGCAGTTGTTAAAGTATAAGGAAGAGCAATACCAGAGACAGGTAAAAGGTCTGGAAGATGCAAACTTGTCTCAAGTGGAAAATGATATCAAGGATCTTGAAAGCCAAGCAAAGTCATTGCAGGAGTATTTGGAAACGCGTAATCAAGAACTTTCAAGGATAAATCAGGAGATCGCTTCGTTGCAAAGTTGATGTGGCAAAGTTACCTTATTATAAAGTTGATTTCGTTTTTACTATAAAGTTGATGAATATGTATGGAAATGACGGTTAATCAATTAAATAGTCTGTGTACAATACATTTTTCAGAGAAACATGACATTACCAAACTCGTGTGTCTACACCTCCTACTTACTTCTCCTGTACCATAGTGTTACTAGTCAATGGTGCTCTACTATCTCGCTCTGCTCGATGGTGTTATTTTTTTTTTTTTTTATCTCTATTTCTTTTCCTCCTTGTTTTCTGGTTCTGGCTCTGGCTTAGGTAACTTAAAGTTTTCAGGAGTGAAATCCTTACCTTCACCAACAGGTTCCCAAACAGACGACCCCACAGTGAAATTTCTCCAAGCTTGGGTCAACTCCAATGGCTCATAAACAATCCTCTTCTTTTCTTCATCGTATCTAACTTCGGTATACCCAGTAGTAGGGAAATCTTTCCTCAATGGGTGTCCTTCAAATCCATAATCAGTCATAATTCTTCTTAAATCGGGATGATTAGTGAAAAATACCCCAAACAAGTCATAAGTCTCCCTTTCGTACCAATTAGCTCCATTGTAAATTGGAGTCACCGATGGTACGGGACTCGTCTCACTAGCATATGTCTTGACTCTTATTCTCGAATTGTGTCTCACAGACAACAAATTATAAACCACGTCAAATCTGTTTGTTCTTGAAGGATAGTCTGCAGCAGTAACATCCATACAAGACTTGAACTGTGCTGAAGTATGGTTCTTCAAAAACAACATAACAGGTCTAAGTGCATTGGGTGCGACATACAAGGTCAATTCGTCTTTCCAAACTGAAAATTGCTGGATATATTTAGGTAAACATGCCATTATATAAGTGCCGAATTTGTGCAACTCTTCAATCTGTACTTTATATTTCTCAGCTGGGTTTCTTACTGGCGAATAAATCCATGGCTCTTCATTTCTTGGTAGTTTATTCAAATCAACAAGATCTTCCTCGTGTGCACTTAGACGACAAAAGCTAGAGGACGAGAATCCTCTAATGTAACAGCTGCTACTCTTCAATAGACTCGGTGACGTTATCAAACGTCTTTGTATCGATCTTTTCAACGTTGGTATCATATTATTACCAAAAAAAAAAACCAAACCACAAAAGCAAAAATAAAAATTTTGAATTAGCCTTGCCCTATCAAGAAGAAAAATACCTCAATTTCAACCTTCTCTCTTTCTCTATCTTTCACACTCTGTTACTTCACCTCAAAACTAGTTAATGAAACTTTTTCATTAACTTTACTTAACCTTATAAAAAGAATGTAATAGTAATTGAAATTCAAATGAACGCAATTGGTGCAAAAAAAAAAAAAAAAAAAAAGAACGAGAAAGGTAGTGTACATTCACCAAATAATGAAAGTTTCAGCAAAAGAGAGATGTCAACGCCAGTTCGAATCTGGTCTAGGTCAAGTGACAATATCAACTATCTTGATGGAATCGTTTGCTTTGAACCTTTCAATTGGTATTAATCAGATGCTCTTTGGTCGTAGATGAAAAAAAATAGTAAATCTCTTTGTAAAGCGTGTCATCTTTATGCAAGGACAATGCTAATCTTCTCTGTATTGTTAAAATTGACAAATGTACTATCGAAAGATAGTACGAACAAGTTGGTTTTTCGAACGATACTATCGAGACTATCGAGCGAAGTGAGATACTAAAGCAACACAAGAGCTGTATCATATCGCTCTGCTCGATAGTAAAGCAACACAAGAGCTGTATTATATGCTCGATAGTGGAGCATCATTAGCTGTATTTTAGAGCTCTGCTCGATAGTGTACTAGTGTCTACAAAGTGTTGCACCACTATCTCGCTTTGCTCGATAGTGTACTAGTGTCTACAAAGTGTTGCACCACTATCTCGCTCTGCTCGATAGTGTCGCTCGGTAGTGGAGCAACACTAGCTGTATTTTAGAGCTCTGCTCGATAGTGTATTAGTGCCTACAAAGTGTCGCTCGGTAGTGTCGCTCGATAGTGTTCTCGATAGTGTCGATATTGTACAGTACTATTCAATACTGTTCAATACTGTTACCAGCTGCCACCACTAGCTGCCACCACTAGCTGCCACCACTAACTGCCACCACTGACTATAAGTATACTTTCCAACACAAGTGAATATACTGTCTGTAGCAGCTAGAGTGCTCCACTATCTCGCTTTGCTCGATAGTGTTGCTTTACATGTGATATACACGTGATACTCTTTTTTTTGGCTGCGAAAAAGGTCAACATTGTATATCATTTGTGAAAAAGGTCAACTTTATATACCATTCGTGGTTGTTACGCCACTATCAAGAGTATTCTCGGATATTCTCGGATACTTTGTTATCTCTAGTCAATACTGTTCCACTATCTCGCTCTGCTCGATAGTGTCACTTTGGTCTTTGAAGTTCTATGATGAAATGATGCAGAGCTTCGTAAGTTTGCTCTCAATTGGCCCCCAATTGGCCCCCAATTGGCACTCAATTAGCACTTCATATTTTCAGCTACACACTTATCTTTATATTTTCGCTTTTATATCATCAGGCAGAGTTTCCAAATCCACCTTCTTCTCAGTTTCATCATTTCCCTTACATTCAAACAAATTCTCACATAAATGATTAATCACACCCCATCCATATCCATTAGCAAATCTTCTTCTAACAATTATATTATTATGCGCATCGGGTGGTAAATTGACCAATACTTTTCTCCAGGTTAGTTTATCAGTATGATACTTGTTAGCAATAACAACTTGTTTATGTAGTTTGTATCTCCCGCGATACTTGAAAAACTTTTCAAAAAACCAAGACAACTTCTCATTCTCCTTCTCGCCCTCGTTTTCTTTGGATTTGTCAAGGCGATAATATCTATCGTGGAAAATCACAGGATGTCTCAGTTCGGGCTCCATAATGAACTCATTCGACGGAATGGGACAAATTAGGGTATTTAATGCAGACTCAATCGCTGATGCTCTTGGTGGGATAATCAATGGCGCTGAATCATCGCTATTTTCAGAAGAGTTGTCTTCATTGTTTTCCTCCTCATTCTCATCATCACCAAGTGTCTTGGATCCCTTTATGGTGAAATTTCTATACCTTTTTTGTCGCCTAGATTTTTTTGCTTCACCGGGAGAGCTCAAATCTAGAAAGTCAAAGTATTTATGAGTAGCAAACTTAAAAGAATGTTTTCCTTGATTCGATTGCTTTCGCAGGGTATCCATGAGCTTCCTCTTTTCATTACTGTTATTCTTAGTCCCCAAACTTTCTGCATCAGTGTGTCCTTCGTCGTCAGGTACTTCCAGTACTGTATCGCCGCTTTCAATACTCTCAACATCATGGTTATGATCGTTCTCCAATTCAGGATGTTCAGTAACGTGTTTGGTCCTTTTCAACGTGTTTACGTCCCCTAGTGCTTCATAATCCAAATATAACAATGCCGCCGTTCTCAATGGTACAATACCGTCATTGATTGCATTGGCATAAACAGTAAGACGTTTGAATTCCCCCAAAAATGTTTGCAATGGATCGTTAGGTAATGTTTCCAAAACAGGCTTAAAAGTATCTCTTTTCTTTTGATCATCCAAATCAATATCTTTCCAAGTTGGAATATGCTTCAGTAAAGTTAAGTCACGACCAGTTTTACCTAGCGTTCCCAAATCCAAAAACCAAGATATAACAAAGTTCAACTCGTTCAATATGCCCAAAAAGGGACTAGCCAAAGATATAAGATTAACTGGCTCAATATTTAACCTTTTGAAAAACTCAACACCTCTTGTAAGCAAGATATACTTGATTGCATACAACTGGACAACTCCACCCAAGGAATGAGCAATAAAAGAAATCTTATCAAATCTGTAAGGCAACTTCTCTACCAAATCCACAATAAAATTCGCAACGTTAATACCTAGTTTTCTTATCCCCTTTTCTGTTCGACCTGCATTGTAACGGAACCCTCTCACCATTATATTCTCTTTAACCTTCAATTCCAACACATCTTTCAAGTATAGCATATCGGCTGTAAGGTTTGAAAAAATGCCATGAGTTACTATTATCAAATGTACCGGCTCCAACGGTTTTGAAGGTGGACTATTCCAAATATCCTCTGTATTCTTCTTCATCACAGAGAGCAGCGGGTTGAAAACATGATTATTGGTGTGCTTTTGATCAATTTTCATCTCAGCTTTGTTGTTGTTGTTATTGAAATCGCTGTTACTTCCAATACTAGAAATTGCCTTTTCAACTACGCTATAGGTTAATTTTTTCATAAATTGCAAATCGTCACCAATCATCATATCATAATCAACAGTGGTCTTTCTGGTGATAACGATTTGAGAAATAACATCGATCTCCCATTGGAAATACTCCACCGTCGTTTGCTCATCTTCTAATTCAGCCGTACCCAAAAGGGAATTCTTGTTAAGAAGCAACGTAACAGTAAATGTTTGATTAGGTTTAATTTGGTTCTCAAACACCAACTCGGGGTTCTCTTGTGCGTTATCAGGCACAAACTTTCGACGCGAGTTGTAATTACACGGAATAACATGACAATAAAGTATAAAAGGTCCACTAATCAAATGAACCGTTCTTATCCCAGTATTTTCAATGTTTTTAAGTCTAAAGTATATTTGCTTGATCTTATGGTCAGGATAACGCGCATATCGTACAACATACCTGTTGACCTCTCCTATTTTCAAACTATCCTTGTCTCTATACCATAGATAAGGCTCTTTAACAGCAGCCATTTCCTTCCTTCCCTTCCCTTCTCTTCCTCTCTCCTATAGCCTTTTCCATTAACACCGATTGAAAAACTTGAGTTTCAATTTTGTTCCTATAGCGGCTTTTCATTTATCCGCACTCAAACGCCTAACATATCAATTTTGACAGGTTCGTTTTGCGGGGGAGGGGTCGAAAGTGGCGCTATCGAGCTCCGCTATCGAGCAGAGCGAGATAGTGGAGCACCATTGACTAGTAGCGCTATCGAGTCACGCTATCGAGCTCCACTATCGAGCAGAGCGAGATAGTGGAGCACCATTGACTAGCAACACCATGGTGCTAGAGACACTATCTCGCTTTGCTCGATAGTGGAGCACCATTGACTATCTGAGTGTTTCTAACGACGTTCTGGGTGTCTGTAACGGTGCCAAAGACGATTCTATTCACTATCTGAGTCCCTCTGCTCTGGCAGCTGGAGAGAACAGGACGCTGGATATTGTAGGAGTAGGATATGAGAGATGAGTTAGTTGAAAGAGTAGGGTTTTGTACGTGGTAAGAGTAGCTAAAAGAGTAGGGCGCTGAATATAGTAGAAGCGGGATACTCATCTGGAGAGAACAGGGCGCTGTACGCTGTTAGAATGGGGTTACTTAAATGGAAAGGGTAGCTCAGTATAAGCTGTCAGAGTGAAGCCACTTAATTAGAGGAGTAGGATGCTGTGGTGAAAGTGGAACTACTCAGTTGAATGGATAAGGTGTTGTACATTGTAATAATGGAGCTGCTCAGTAGGAACAAGTCGTTGTAAGCTGTCAGGGTGGAGCCAAATATCAGGACACTTTACGCTATAAGAGTGAAGCTACTGGGTCAGTGTGCGCTGTCAGAATAGAACCACTTAGATGGAAGGACTCAAAAAAAGAGCAGGACGTTATATCTATGGAAAGTGGAACTACTCGGTTACAGAGGCAGGACGTTATGTCTCTGTCCGATAGTGTCGATAGTGTTGATAGTAGAAGCTAGTTAGTGCTGCTCCACTATCTCGCTCTGCTCGATAGTGTTGGAAAGGCAGGACGTTGTAAGCGGTAAGGGAGAGTTACTCTATGTCAGAGTGGAGCCACTCTGTCGATCCTTAGTAGAGCTCAAGTTTACAACTACTTTTTAGTTTACACACTATGATAAAATATAAGGTCCACCTTGTCAACAGGGCTCGTAGCATATTTTCTACCTTTACATTACTAAACTACTTTTACAGTGATAGGCTAGTACCACCTACCACCTATTACTTCAGTTTTACTCCTCATTACGGCGGTACCGTCTACCTCCTGCTACGGCGGTACCACCTACCACTTACTTCAGTTTAACTCCTCATTACGGCGGTATCGCCCATCTCCCGCCTGCTACGGCGGTTTGCTTCGGCGATGGTGAAAAAAAATTGAAAAAAAAAATTGGAACCTTGTATTATAACATTGTTAGCTAACAGTAGTTATACCATCAATTCTACCACCAATACCTACCGCTATGAGAGCAGCACCGAAGGATATAATCCCAGAAAGTGAGGGTATGTTCTCAAGTGTACACAAGTAGTAGGGTTGGGGGTATACCTCCCCCTTACTTGTGCAGCTTTTCTGTTTCAGTACTAACCTTTTACCCTTTACCAGAGGACCGATTACGAACAAAATGCAAGGAATTAAAGAAGCGAATTTCCCAAGTTGAAGAGACTAACGAGGTGGCCACAATTGCATTAAGCAGAACAATGGCATCTATTCGTCGATTGAGACTAGAGTATTCTATTTTACTAGAACGGTTAGAAGAACGAGCTCAGCACATTCCAGATGGAATAACGAGTTTTGAAGAAATGGCAGGTCCGCCAACACCTAATATTTTAGATGATACATTGGTTAAGAGTTCAAAGAATGGGTCGAGTAGTAAAAGGACAAGCAAAAGATTAATACTCAAGCCGCCAAGTGGTGGATCCAACACAACAGCGGGAGGAGCAGCGGCTTCGGCAGCGGCTTCAGCAGCTTCAGCAGCTTCGGCAGCTTCGGCAGCAGCAGCAGCAGGAGGAGGAGAAGGAGAAGGAGAAGGAGAAGGAGAAGGAGCAGCATCAGCAGCAGTGGAATCCACCGGGAATAAACAAATTCCAGAATCATCGTTTAAAAACTCTAAAACCAGAGATCCAGATTTACCAAAACGTCCTACTAATTCGTACTTGATATTTTGTGAACAAGAAAAGGAAAGACTAAGACAAGAAGATCTGGGAAACACAAAGGATTTGTCAAAGACAATGACTGAAGCGTGGAAAAACTTGGATGAAGAAGGTAGAAAACCATACTATAAACTATATGAAGATGATAGAATTAGGTACCAAAAGGAAATGGCTGAGTATTATCGGAAGATATATAAACACGAAAAAGCTGATGCGGAAGACGAAGATAAATCGGAACAGGAGACAAAACGACAGAAACTAAAAGAGGCCGCCGTTGTCGATTCTGCAGCTGATGATGCAGATGTAGCTGATGCTACTCCAGCCGTTGATGCTGCTGCAACCGCTGATGCCACTCATGCGGCTGACAAGCATGACCATTCAATACAAGAGGAGAAATCACCAGTCATAGTAAAAGCAGAGGAAAATGTGGAAGCAAAAGCAGAGGAAAATGTAGAAGCAAAAGCTGAAGAAAATGTAGAAGCAAAAGCTGAAGAAAATGTAGAAGCAAAAGCTGAAGAAAATGTAGAAGCAAAAGCTGAAGAAAATGTGGAAGCAAAAGCTGAAGAAAATGTGGAAGCAAAAGCAGAAGAAAATGTAGAAGTGAAAACAGAAGAAAATACCCAAGTTTAAGCTTTGACGGTCGACTATAAAAAAATGCGTAATCTATTAGTTATTCTTTTTCCTTTTTGGCTTGTAATAACCATTTTCGTCACGTTCATGTTTCCTCTTTTCACGACTTCTTTCATGTTTCTTGAATTTCCTCTTTGATGCAACCTCTGGTGCTGTGATGGCTAATTGGGCTTTTTTCGCTCTTCTTGATTGTCTTCGTAAGTTCACTTGCTGCTTTACTTGCGCAAATAAACTTGTGTACTCCGTGGCTCCTATTTTTTCCTTGATTATGTTTAATGTTTCCAAACTAATATTGGTTAATTCATCGTCTGCCAATGATGCCGAATAATCAGCATCGGTGAAATTGTATAATGATGATATAATCATTTCGGAAACTTTACCAACTCGCTTTTCCGTAGTTAATTGTATGAAGAAGGCTAGGAACTTGATAGCAGCCTTCTTAGCAAGCAGGGATTGAACATTCTCTTGTCGAACTATACTACAAACTCGTCCAACTAAGTAGTCATTTGCAACAAGTGGTTCATTTTCTCCCTTGTTTAATGTTGTGCCATGCGACTCCCAGCTCATTGCAATAGACACTAGATTTTTTGTACACTGATTGGCCAAATCATCGGACAACGATGGTGTTCTTAGTTGATGGATTAGTTTTGTAGCAATGGTTTCCAATTGAGCAGTATTAGCATCGCCGTTAGCATCACCATCAAGTTTACTCTTAGTCAAATTTGAAAGCAAGATAGAAACTAATCGACATGTAATTAGCCTGATCCAGGAATGGGGATATAACAAACAATCAATGACACCTTGCCAAATTTTCTTAAACCTATTGTCAAAAATTTGATCCTTGGCTGATGTTGCAATAGTACTGAATGTTGAGATACTAGCATATAAAAGCTCCCACTCAACATCATTGCCTTCTTCAGTGAATTTGGATTGATTTAAAATTCTTTGAATATTGGATATCGCCAACGTATCCAAGCTATTGTTCTTTTTAAGTCCGAAAGTAGCAATCAACAATTTATATACACTGAAACCACATCTTTTCAACAACAGGTTCGTAGACTGTTTCAACCATGCTGCACAATATTCCTCGACAAATCCGATCTTTGGTAATTTCTTAACCAATAGAGTCAACAAAGTATTCGCCATTTCCCTCGATTTTGACGAGCTATCAGATACCATGACATTCGATAGGGCAATGAAAAAAGAAGACCCTAGTTTGCTCAACAAATCAGTGCCTGCTTTACCAATAATCAAATGAATCAACTCCATCACAGATTGACGACCTTCTTCCGTTGGATAAGTTAGATTTTTCACCAAAAATTTAAATTGTTTCTCCAATCTCCCTTTACTCTGATCGTATTCCATAAGAAATTGGAAGAATACCGATCTCGATATATCTCGAATTTCCTTTGAATGGTTCACAATCATAAGCTTAGCAACACTATCCATCACATCATACAATTCGGGTAATAGCATATGCTGAGACACAACAGCCTTCAAGAAATTAAATGCCAATCCTTGTCTATTGGGCTCTTCCAAATCCGGTTGAATTCTAGTCAATATATAGCTAATTGCAGAATCTTTTAAAACAACCTTCAGATTGTGTTTTATTGTAGTAGCCAAGAATTTCAATGCTGCTTGACAAAGGTCCAGGTTAGTACTAGGAGAATCTTTAATCAAGACTATTGCTCGTCTTGCACATGTTTTTAAAACACCTTGTATCTCTTCATCAAAAGGCAAACGAATAACAATCATCAAAACTCTCAATGACGCCAAAACAACACTTTCATTCTCAGAATTTATTCCTTTCTCTAGAAGAGGAACAAATCCTGCTAAATTTGCAGTAGTCAACAAATTTTCATGGCGAGATATTGCAGTTCTCAATAGCTCGAGTGAAAGTCGTTGCATAGTTTGCTCGCAAAGCAATTTGTCAACATGATTCTTGGTCTTTCTATTCAACGTGGTCAAAAAATGTTGTTCCGTAGCACTAATGGTTGTTGCTGGTGCCGTTGTCGTTGTTGTTGATGATGATGACATTGAAAAGATTTCAAAACACAAGTGCAATATTTCCACATTTGCTGCTTCAGAATTATGATTCAACCCATTCGATAATCTTCTTAAAAGCTCATCTAATTTAACTTGAACTTTATGAGTGATTGACTCTCGAAGTAATAATCTAATTGGCTCAATTAATTCGCCAAACTGGTTCAAGGAAATGTTTGATGCAACTATTTCACAAGAATCGTAACTCTTCTTGAACCTGACTTCCTTCATCTTGCTTGTATAACCATCAGCATCTTTTTCTTGCCCAGCAGCTCCAAAAATATCTTCCATTACTATTTCAATAATCATACTAATTGACTCGTTCAAGTCCCCATGAACTAAATGCTTATCCATACATTGTAAAAGGTAATGTACTGTGTAACTCAATACGTGAATCTGGGAACCTCTAGATAACGCAGCCTTCAATTCTTTCAAAATGAATGACAAATAACGAGCACCTAAGGCCACTGCAATCTTACCTAAACTTTTCCTCACTGCATCTCTCAACTCTTCCGATCTCGATCTCATAACTTGACACATACTCGTCAAGATTTTCGGCAATTCCCCTTCAATTCTCTCTGGCGATAAACACAAAACAAAGTTAATCGCTGCCTCAGACAACGGCGCACGAGCAACAATCGTATCGTCATTACGTACTTGCAATATTTTCACTATAGTCGGTAGTATCTCGCTTAATATAAAGTCGTCAATTTCATCCTGCGAAACTATATTCTTTGCCTCTTCTTCCTTATTCATAATCTTTTTCAAACCTCCTGAAATGGCAACTACTAAGTTCACTTTTTGTTTCAACATTTCTGCTCCATCCTTGAGATTACTCAAGTATCGCTTGAGGATAGCCTTATATTGGTTCCATGTCACTGATTGAACCAATACCGATATAGCTTCCAAGGATTCCAATCCTATGTTCCTGTATTTTTCCTCCTTGGAGAGCACATATTTCTCAACAATTGGTAGAATATAATGAGATATGCTGTTACCTTTCAAGTGTCCGCTTTGCTCTGTCAATCTTCTTATTGCACGGTACCGTAAATGCAATTGAACATGATTGATATCTTGGAAAAAGCTAGATCCTTCTTCTTCGCCACCTTCAACTTGTTCTTTTTCTCCTCCTCCTCCTCCTTCTTCTTCTTCTCCTTCTTTTTCTGCTTTGTTGCCTAACAAGATTCGCAAATCACTCAACTCAGTGAAATACTTGTTTTGATCAACAATGTATTCCAAAACTGAAATATATTCACTTTGAACATCTTCATTATCTTTCCTAATTCCAAGTCTTAAAACTGGAAGTATAGTGTCCTTCAATAAATGAACATAAGGCGCAGCTTCTTCAATAGTTGGTTTGCCCGCATAACAATCTACAAACCTTTTCAACATGTACCCTGCATTAACACGTATTGCCAATTCATCGCGATCATTAATGAAAAATAAAGCACAATTGATCAATGGGAACCATTGTGTCACGTCAAAAGTAGTGTAATACTCTTCATTAACCAATCTAAAAGATTCCAATCGCCTCTCAAAATCGTATTCATTCATTCTTGTAGTGAATGAATTCAATCCAGCAATAATATCAGCAACTAATTTCAAATGCTCAAATTTACCCCCAAGAGTTTCCAAACATCCAGCAAGTGTTTCACGAATTTCTTTAGCTGCAAATATTCTCATTAGTTTTGAAACAACTCTATATAAGGGTAATATTTCATCAAATGTGCAATCATAACTTACCAATAGTGATGATAGCGCAATAAGTACATTTGACTTATCCTTTATATCAATTTGTAAATTGCTCTTCTCAAGTGCAAACGTTAAAGCATCAATAAGTGTACCTTTGGTTTCTCTACTATCAATGTACTCTCCTTGAATCATCAACAAAAGAGTCCTTATAGCTAAAGAGCCAACCTCTGGATTATAGATCCGTTTGATTGTAGAAGGTAATGTATGTAACAAAGAGTCCACAACAATAGCAAGCAATGTAAAATAATCATCATTCGATTCATTTCGCTTCTCCAATGCCACGACTGCAAAGTTCAAAACACTTGCAGAAACAGCTTCCTTAGCTCCATCATGGCCCAAAATTGACAAAATTGCCTTGACAGCAGCAAAGTCATTAACGTATAGAAATGGAATTGTATTTGGTTGATTAATCCACGAACACATTAGTATCAATACAGCAGATGGCTGTTGTAGATTTTCATTTGCAAAATTAACCAATCTTGGTTCTATCAATTGGCCACTAATCAAATTAACATAATCACTCCAATCAAACTCGGAGCCTAAAATCTTGAACAATTCATTGAGGCATCTCATTCCACTCAGTCTTATACTTTTCGCAATCTTTTCAATAATATCCTTATCCTCATCATCCTCATTGAACGGCGTGTCAAGCCTATTCTGTGCTGAAACAAGCGAATAAATTAACGGCTGAATAGTAGCTTGCAACACTTTGGCATAATTTTTGCTCAATACTTCATAAATCTGTTGAAGGAGACTAATAAACCCAGTCATTCTTTTTAGTTCCAGTTTATCTAGTCCCAAACTCACTGTGGGTACCTTTTTATTGAAATAGTTAGCATACTCTAATTTGTTTGCACCAACTTCGATAAACGATAATATATCTTCTGTGTCAAAATTGGGCAAAAAGGAAATCACAGCATTCTTGTTACCTTGTTTACTATTACTTCTTGGTTTACCTTGAACTTTACCAAATAGTATCCTAATGACAAGTGGCATGAGTACAGATTTGTCGTCTTCAAAATTCATCGTCTCTATGAATGTAGAAATCTCGTCACTGAATGTAATGTCATCTAATAGGTTTTTCAAGTTATCTTTATATTTGTTGATTACTGGATCGTTAAATGCAAATAAAACATCAATTGCCAATTGCTGTGTCTTGGAATGAGTGCTTGACAATAGCATCAACATGTAATCATACAATTCTCTACTTCCACTTTTCTTCTGTAAGTTTTTAAACTGAGCAAAAAGAGCTAACAATTCATTTTTATCGTTCCTAGACCAGTCTTGTTGTTGATGATCTTCAGTCTCGCCATTTACGACAAGGGGCACCAATTTGGGGATGTCTGCCACTGATGGAGCAGCCTTCAATGCTTGTAAAGTATTTGTTCTTAAAAAGGAATTGAACTGGTTTCTATTTGTAGATTCTTGACAGATTTCGGTGATTGAATTATCAATATTTCGAAAACAGTTGAAAAACGTTGTTTCAAAGTATTGGAAATTGTGAAGTAATTTGTGGTTTCTTGGTTGCCAGTTGATCAAACAGCTATCAATACTCACAAACTCTTTTCTCTTTTGTGAGTTATCTGAGAAATCTCTTGTCAATATAGAATATGCCAATTGCCATATTTCATTTTTGCAAATATGTGAAATTAAAGGTATTGTTTCATACACAGCTTTCCAGCATGGCTGGAATCTATTGGATAGCAAACCAAATAAATAATTAACGATTATTGTTTTATCAAATTGACTAGGTTTGATATCCTTTGCAAAATCAGTTACTAAATTTCGCACCCTCAATAGAATATCTCGACTGGTATCAATGGTTAATGGAATTTGCTCAATTATATTGATTTGAGAAAGCAAACTGGTCAGCTCTTTTCCGTCAAGCAATAAGATTTTGGAAATCAACGCTACTGCGTTTTCCCTTGATTCATGGTTGGGCAAGTATAAACAGTCCAAAGCTCTTTGCATGAATATATTTGGATCCTCTGCAAATTCAACAATCTTTGTCATTGTCAGAAGGAAATTAGAGGACTTGTTGAGTTGATTGAAGGATTTATCAAGGAAGTTTATAATCTCTTTGGTGGTGGCGGTGGAGGATAATGTAGTGGTGTTAGTAGTGAGTTTTTGATATAGTATATCAAGGACCAAAGGAGATATCTCGATACCTTGCAAAGTACTTGGAAGGCTAAATAGTAAGTTTTTGAGTATATCTATATCGATTTCACACGATTCTGAATATTGGAATAGCAATAGTTTCCAATACAAGTCGAAATACTTTTCAGATTCGATATCGGCTATGGAAGCGATGCTTATTTCTTGAATAATTCTTTTCGAAATAATAAACTTATCGTCAATAAAGAGGTTGCTTTGCTTTGTATGTTCCAAAAACAAAACCACTCGTTTTAATTTTTCAGGACCATCAGCTTTATTGATGTACTCTTGAATGTACTTTGCGATTCCGAAATTTCGCAAATTCTTTCCTGCAACGGCCAATCCTGACTCTGCAAAAAGTAAGAAATCATCACCTGCATTGATCAGTAGCACAGCATCAAAGATCCGCTTCTGGCGCTTTAAAAGAATTTGCATATCAACGTTTCTGAAAATAATCACCAAAAGGTAAATAAATGATTCAATCAATTCCCTTGATAACGTCGCCAGATGAGACATTTTAGTGATGATATTGTCCACCACATCCAACACACATGTCCAATCCTTAACTTTGCTACCTGAGTCGGCAAAACATAGCGTGAATAAAACCTGACACGAGATTAGCAATTTAAGCGATTTGAGCTCATCGTCTTGTTTGATTTTGAGCAAGTCCTCTAAAGTTGAAGTAACTAGCTGATAAAAGTTCTCGCAAGCTTCAACTCCACCATGGTGCAACACGTCCAATAAGATATCCGACAACAAACCAATTAGTCTTGGTTGAGTATCGAGGAGTGCACTAGACACGACACACTCCACTATAGTGGATAAAATAATCTTGGCCTTGGTATGGAAAGTGCCGCTGGTATTTTTCATTGATTCGCTAAACATTATTTTTAGTGATTCACAATAATTGTCATTTCCCAAAATATCTTGATCATTTAAACAATATTGTACAAATTTGGTCAACGATTCCAGCCCCAGTTTCCTAATCAAAAAAGATAAGGCTTCGGCACAGAATCGGGAAATATATACTCTATTAGTCAACTTCAACAATGGTACAAGCTCAACAAATGTAGGCTCCAAATCCTCAATAAGAAATTTGACTAGATATTTGAAAATAAATGCCAACGTATTGAAAATCCAATCCAACGAGTTTGAAGTGTTTTTGTTATTTTGGAAATCGTTGGGGTTTTGCAAAAGAGCAACTTTGGTCAACAAGTGCAAGGTTTTTGAGTAAAAAACCAAAAAGTCGGGGCCTAAATCATGAACAAATTGTGACAAGAGTTCAAGTAAAGGTTGTAGTGAATGGATATCGTTTAAGGCGACGGCATCATGAATGACCCTGTAGATGCGTTGCTGGTGGTGTAGCACTTGTGGTAATGACTGACATACCTCCTCGATCTCGTCTACTACCTTGGTGAATACACCTGAAAGATTCAATTCTTTCCAGTATTCTAACGTTGTTAAAAGGTGAGATGATTCTACTTCATCATGGATTCGTTTGCCGAGTTTTCGACTCGGCTCGATTTTTATCGACTCTACTCGTTCCTTAAAGGACTTGAACGCATGCCGCCTGCGTGACTCCGTGCTCTTCCTATAACCCATCCCTTTTTTGCCATAACCTTGACCAAACACTTTAACCAACAAGACCATCAAGTTTACCAAAAATTGAAAAAATTGAAAAAAAAAAATTTGAGATGATCATCGAGGCACGTGACCAAGATAGATGTTACCAAGTATGGTGCATCACGTGATCAGAATTATACGATGTTGCCATTCTTCTAACAATCTTTTATATAAGACCATGCCATGAGGATAGAAAGGCAAGTGCTCACGTTGAGCCGTGGATCCAGGGGGTAAAAAGCCGCAACAGTGGTTGGTCTAGACGGGTTCTGCATCCAGGTAAACTCAAAGGAAAAAGTGTAGTATTCCAGGACATCAGTGCATCACAACAGCACATCTACTCCAGGACATCAGTGGATCACCAGAAATAGAACGAATACTCTTGCTGAGTGTGTTGGACTTGGGAGCCAAGGGCTGCATGTTTTGCACGGGGTGCGTGTGACCAATACTAACGAATACGTCAATGTGAAACAACACCAAAGGCGTCAACCTATTCACCGATATCTATTCCACCAAGACCGACACTATCGAGCAAAGCAAGATAGTGGAGCAACACTGACTAGCGACACTATCGAGCAGAGCGATGGTTAAGTATCCACCACTTTTGCGTTCCCTTGGATAGTAGTCTTTGTTGCAAACATTGTCAATCTTGACTGAAATAAATGGTAGCGAAATGGTGTATCACGTGATACTGGTCAGAGACACTATCGAGCAGAGCGAGATAGTGTTGATAGTGTTACTGGTGAGAGACACTATCGAGCAGAGAGAGATAGTGTCGATAGTGTTACTGGTCAGAGACACTATCGAGCAGAGCGAGATGGCGTCGATAGTGTTACCGGTCAGTACTGGTCCACAATCGATTGTGTCACGTGACCGGCACTGACTATCGAGACTATCAAGCAGAGCGAGATAGTGTCTCTGTGTCTCTGCTCGATATTGTCTCTGACCAGTAACACTATCGACGCCATCTCGCTTTGCTCGATAGTGTCTCCAGCCAGTAACACTATCGACGCCATCTCGCTTTGCTCGATAGTGTCTCCAGCCAGTAACACTATCGACGCCATCTCGCTTTGCTCGATAGTGTCTCCAGCCAGTAACACTATCGACGCCATCTCGCTTTGCTCGATAGTGTCTCCAGCCAGTAACACTATCGACGCCATCTCGCTTTGCTCGATAGTGTCTCCAGCCAGTAACACTATCGACACTATTTCGCTTTGCTCGATAGTGTCACGTGTCACATAACCACACTAGATGGTAGGAAAATACACCACGTGACATATTTCATGGTAGCACCCAAGCGATGCCCAAATGTGAGCCGCCCATTGTTACATTGAAGAGGGTTCAACTTGTTGAGTATATACTTTGCTGAGGTAGGACTCACAAGGGAGCTGATTAGGAGGTTGCAGAACATTAGTTTACGTGATTGCAAAAGGAATAGTTGCAAAGGGACCAGTTGTTATTTGTTTTTGTACAACTGTTAGTTGTAAAGAATGTCAAGTTCTCAGCAGGATAGTGATGAGACGAGGCCGCTACTATCGCATAATAGTGTACCTGAAAACCCCATGGGGTTAGCAACAACAGGATTGAAATCAAAGTCAAAGATGAAGCTGACGCTAGACTCCAAATCCAAATCCAAAGCTCCGTCTTTTAAAGCTAGTAGCTCGAAAATGTCCAAGGCAAACAAGATTGGCTTACAAAGGACGAGTAGAACGACGCTGAAGTTGAAGTTGCTACCCGAGGATCCTGATCCAACGAGTTTCAATGATAAACGAGTCATTGCGGGCGATGGCAAAGAGAGTATTGTCAGCAGAGTAAACGGCAATGATGATGACGATGACGATGACGATGACGAAAGTGACGAAGCATTTGCTTCACGACCTATGAGGGTATATTCTCAGGCCAAGATGATTACAGATACCTCAGCTAGAAAAGATGCAGAAATTTTGGGTAAACTGCATCGTGACTTATTACCTAGAGTGACTGCTTATTGTACGTGTGCTTCGTATAGGATGAAGGATTTACTCAGATGGTTGAAGGATAGGAAAAGGATACATAATACTAGTGCGAAATTGTTTGACGAGTGCTTATATACCCCGTTCACATATAAAGACTGGAGGAGCGATTCGAGTAATGGCAGTAATGATGAGGAAAATGGCCACAAGTTGATAAGGTTAGCCGATGAAGGGGGTGAGATAGATATTGGTAAAAAATCAGATTTGTTTATATTTGAGTATGGTGTTGTGATTATGTGGGGTTTTACGCAAAAAGAGGAAGTTGCATTTTTAGGAGACTTGGCTCGATTTGAGCAAGAGAAGCTTTCAGCTGAAGATATTCAAATTGAAGAGTTTAACTATTATATCACGAAATCTTACCAACCGCGGATATACAATGATTTCATAACATTGAGAGATGACGATAATTACATGTTGAAGCTATCCATATCTCATGCGCTTGCGCAATCGGTCAAAATATCCCTATTTGAAGAGTTGGTGGATAATACTATCGAAGATACACAAGAGATTCCGCTGCAAATTGCGCGTACAGGTAAAGTTGAAATGAACCGAGACGAAATAATGAAGTCTATAGGCGAGTTGTTTATTTTGAGGATAAATATCAATCTTCATGGGTCTGTTTTGGATTCGCCTGAATTGATGTGGGCCGAACCACATTTAGAGCCAATATATCAAGCTACTAGGGGGTACCTTGAAATCAACCAGCGAGTTGAACTATTGAACCAGAGATTAGAAGTTATATCTGATTTATTACAAATGTTGAAAGAGCAATTGGGCCATTCGCATGAGGAAAGCCTTGAATTTATCGTTGTTGTATTGGTTGGTGTTCAAGTTTTAGTTAGTATTGTGAATATCTTTGTTGATATATTCACTTATTAATGAGAGGCATTATCAGGTCCACTATCTCGCTCTACTCGATAGTGTCGTCGTAGAGCCATAATGAGAGGCACTATCAGGTCCACTATCTCGCTCTACTCGATAGTGTCGTCGTAGAGCCATAATGAGAGGCATTATCAAGTGCTGCTCGATAGTGTCTATTAGCAATGTCGTAATTTTTGGTGGTGGTTGTCGTCCGTTTCGGCGTAGAGTTTTGCGGGCGGCGACGACCACGGCGACGGCGCCCCATTTTGGCGAGTTTGTTGCTCCATTATTTCGCTTTGCTCAACAGGTGTCGCTATCGTGTAATTTTCACAATGTCGTATTTTTCTCCACGACATTCAATTCTTGCGATGAGGAAGAAAAAAATCCACCAGTGAAGAATCACAGAGCCGCCTTTATTCCTTCTTGAAAGCCATTTAAATAGCAAGATTTGGGGAGGTATTAGACTTTCAAAGAAGCTATTAGACTGTTGAAGAGTTATATAACTCTATTTATTATTGGAAATCCCCTTTTTAGGCTTTTTGATACGAGGTTTTTTTGTATATTTTGGTACAAGTGATTTAATACAATTCATTTATGAAATTTGACTATACCATCTTGACACTGTTGAGCTGTTACTTTATGATCAAAGGAAGCGAAGTGGGATCATAAAATCAAAAGAGAAAAAGAGAAGAAGGCTATTAGTTTTAAAAGAAAAGACAAAAAGGCTATTGAATAGCTTCTTTTTTTTTTTTCAAGTTTGATAACTCAGGTATAAAAAGGCTTTTATACAAGTTAGCTTTCGTTTAAACTACGCTTATTCAAGCTATGAACTACAGTTTTGTTCCCATATAAGCTAAAGTGGAACTTGGAACTTGGAACTCGATTACAGAAATTCAACTATTTACCAAAAACGTGGTATTTACTATTGCAAAAACGTGGTATCTACTCACTCACTAAAAAATGTCCGATCATGAAAGTTTTGAAAGCAATCAACCACAAGCTTCAAATTTGAAAGTCTTGGAGTTTGAGTTGAACGACCATCGTGCTTTGGAGGAGCAAAATATTCACTCTAAAGGTGAAAATACTCCAGCAAAAGCCCAATCACAAGTAGAACCAACCCCATCATCGCCATCACATCATCCTCCTCCTCCTCCTCCATCAACAGTAACTAATGACCAATCCAGTAGCAATAGTCCATTAGGACAGCATCCCCAAACTTACACCCAGCCCCAGCCCTATTCTTCTTCTACTCAAGGTGCACCCGTCTCAAAAAAGAAACCAGCTAGAAAAAGCTCAACTTCTGCAGAAAAACCATCTTTTATGAATAGTTTGAGAAGAGAATTCTACCTCAAGGAAGATGACGATGTTATACCTATAATCAATCATTCTCATAACTCAAAAATGAGACGTAGACTAACTTTGGATAACTTACCACCTGTTATTAAAAAGAAAACTATACGCAGCAACTCAAACAATTTTGAAAACGATGTATTGAGTCCTATGATAAAGACAAAGACTGCTGATAGCAACAACAACAACAACAGCAATATTTCTAGCGGGGCTAATGTTGTTAACCCAGATGAGAGTAAGTCTTCCGTCATAGGTGCTGCAGGTACAGGTGTTGGTGCTGCTGCTGCTGCCGGTAGAAGAGGGTCAAGGTCATCCATTGATTCGGACGATTCTCATGCCTCGAGGTCTTCACAAGAGACCGAAGAAGATGTGTGTTTCCCAATGATGCGTGAACATATTCGTATCAATGGTATTGATTTCGATGAAATTGACGAGTTTATAAGAGAAGAAACCGACGAGGCGGCAATGCAAAGAGAATTCCTCATTAAAAACAAGCGGGCTATTGACGAAATTGATCAAAATGAAAAGAGTGAATCATTGCGTTTAACTACCCTGAGGAGAAGTTTCTTATCCAAAACACCAACAAGTAGTGCTGCTTTGAAATATACCCCCAAGAATATTTTAAGGGGTATTTTTAAACATGAAGAAGTTGCAGACACGGAAACTAGTAGTTTGTCAGACGGAGTAAAGTTTAATCAGGACGTTATTGTTGATGATTCTTCTTCGTCATCTTTTGTGTCTTCGGGGCAGGTCAAGTTTGGTGGTGCCAGAATATCTGATGGTAACGGTGGATCAGGATCTTTACCTGATAGGTTTTCCTTTTTCCACTCAGAGTTTGAGGAAACAGTTCATGCACCAGATATTCCCTCATTAGCTGCTGATGGACAATCAATACGTGAACTTTTTCGAGATGGAACAGGGACTTGGTGGTTGGATTGTACCTGTCCCACTGATGCCGAGATGAAAATGTTGGCAAAGGCATTTGGAATCCATCCTCTTACTGCTGAGGATATTCGTATGCAAGAAACAAGAGAAAAAGTTGAATTGTTCAAGTCCTATTATTTTGTATGTTTCCATACCTTTGAACCAGATAAAGAGTCTGAAGATTACTTGGAACCAATCAATGTTTATATCGTTGTTTTCCGTGATGGGATTTTGACATTTCATTTTTCGCCAATTTCACATCCGGCAAATGTGAGGAGAAGAGTTCGTCAATTGAGAGATTATGTTGATGTCACTGCAGATTGGTTATGTTATGCAATGATTGATGATATCACCGATTGCTTTGCCCCAGTGATTCATGGGATCGAATATGAAGCAGATGCAATTGAAGACTCTGTTTTTGTTGCTAGAGATACAGATTTTGCTAATACGTTGCAGAAAATTGGTGATTCAAGAAGGAAAGTTATGACTTTGATGAGGTTGTTATCGGGAAAAGCTGATGTTATTAAGATGTTTGCAAAGAGGTGTCAAGATGAGGCTGCCTTGGGATATCAAAGACAACAAAGACAAATTGTTGAGCAACAGCAGCAACAGCAGCAACAACCACAACCACAACCACAACCACAACCACAACCACAACCACAACCACAACCACAACCACAACAATACACCACTCCTCAACCAGTATCTACACATTTCAGTGAAGTCAATTATGGATATGGATTAGGTTCAGGGACAATACCTCCTATAGGATATGTTGGAAATGGACCCATATCGCCACCACCATTTCAAGGCAATTGGGCTCAGAACAGCTCCATTAATGCGCGCCCAAGAGCGGACATTGCATTATATTTAGGAGATATCCAAGATCACATAATCACCATGTTTCAAAATTTAATTGCTTACGAGAAAATCTTTAGTCGTTCTCATTCCAATTATCTTGCACAATTACAAGTTGAAAGTTTCAATTCCAACTTCAAAATATCTGAAATGTTTTCAAAAGTGACTATTATTGGTACCATGCTTGTTCCATTGAATTTGGTGACTGGTTTGTTCGGTATGAATGTGAAAGTGCCTGGTCAAGACGGGTCTCTTGCTTGGTTTTTTGGAATCTTGGGCATTTTGATAGTGGTTATTATTGCTTCTATATGTTTAGCCAATTGGTGGATATCTAGAATGAATAGAATGATGAATAGCGGGCCTAGACCGGTTTTCAATTCAAGGAGGAGTATTAGAAGTTTGGGAATGAAGAGACACAGTGCTAAATCTATAATCAGTTTCCCCAACAAGTATGAATAGTCTGTGTGTTTGCGTGCAAGGAAATTGATGATTAAATAATCATACGTCTTTAATATGTGTAATATTTTAGTAGATTAAGTTATTATAATAGAGAAAAGTTTAGGATTGCAACTCGTTTATGGAAGAGGAGGCCCATTTGGAAAGTGCGTTTTTTTTTGGTGGTTGATCAATATACGTAATCTTTTGATCAATTGTAATGGTGATATAACAAGCTAATCATCAACATGAACCCAGGATATGAAAGTTGGAAATAACCGGAAGTCAAAAAGTGACAGGAACCCAAACCGGAAATTAAAAAAAATACGAAGATTACACAAACAAATAATAAAAGTACACCCCCACTTTATCATTTTGTGTATGAGCCGGGTAAATATTTGAAATCTAAGAAAATCGACATCAATAGCAAACTTTGACTCGAGATCTTCAATCAATGTGCCATATCATAAAAGTACCAGCTGCAATCAGCAATCAACAGTTACCGGACAATACTATTATTACTTAATTAGTGATATATCTTTTGTAGTGGTGTTTATGGTTTATAGATTAGCTTGATGAGATTTCATAGGGAGCATTCATTTTTTCACTTTATAGAAAACGTTATCAATTTCATTCACTAACAGCTATTCATAATTTTCTTCAGTACATTCCAGCTCATCCGGTGCAGTTCATTGCTTTAATACAAAAATGAAACTAAATACTTTCTTTGCAACTATCGTGTTTTTATTAGTTCAAAGTATATTTGGTTTTTTTCAATATCAAAATTTTCTTCCCCTAAGAAATCTAGAACCGTCACCGTCACCGTCACCGTCACCGTCATTCTCATCCACCCCTCTATCTTCAGATGGACTTGGCCAGTTTGAAACGTGGCTTGATAGTCAACAAAATTCAACTATACACTCAATCCTTTCAAATATCCTTCATAATGGAGTAATCATTGCATCACCATCACGTACCCATCCCAACTATTACTATCAGTGGATCCGTGATTCTGCATTAACTATAAAGACCCTCATTTCATTTCTTCAATCATCACCACAAAAATATAATGAAACAATAGTAAGCCATATAGACCAGTACATTTCTAATAGTTTTGTATTACAAAGAACGGATAATCCACTGGGGCAATTTGATGACGATTTGAAAAGTTTGGGTGAGCCTAAGTTCAACATCGATATGACAGCATTTGAACAGCCCTGGGGAAGACCACAGCGAGATGGACCGGCATTGCGTACGTTGGCCATTCTACAATATTTGGATTATTTAAACCTGACAAACATTCACGCTAAAGAAGCAAGTTACTCTAAAAAAATTTATGATAAAATCGTCAAAATCGATCTTTATTATATTTGCAAATACTGGTCATTTCAAGATGGTTTTGATATATGGGAAGAAGCTCGTGGCCGACAGTTCTTCACTTCTCTTGTTCAATTAAAAGCATTGGAAATGGCTATTCACTGGTCAACATGGTTCAATGACGATGATGATTTCAAAACTCACATAAAAACAAATTACGATACACTAAAGCATGACATTGAAACAAAAGCAGGATTCATACAAGATGAAAACAATATATCTCACATAATCGAGATTCCAAATTTATTAGCTCCAGATAATCAACATCGAAGTGGGTTGGACATTGCTACTGTCCTCGCTATAATCCATACAAATACTAACTCATTATCATCTGAACACGTAACCCCATTCAATGCATTCAATACATCAAACCATTATGTACTTAACTCGTTGGCTTTATTAATCAAGGATATGAAACAACGATATTTGATTAACAAATCGCATTGGGGTGTAGCATTAGGGAGGTACCCCGAGGATAAATATAATGGTTACGATAGTGCGAGTTTAGGGAATCCTTGGTTTTTAGCAACGTCCGCCGCTGCTGAATTCATATACTTGTTCATTTATCAAATCACCCCCACTAATGGCGATGTTTATAATTTCACCATCACTGATCTGAATAGGTTACTCTTTGAACCAATTTTGAAATCGAAAACACCAGGTGGTAATATTACACTAACATATGGAAGTAAAGAGTATTTCACATTTATTAGAAAACTATTAGAGTATGCAGACTCGTTCCTAATGGTTGTTAAAACTCATATGGACAATGAAGGTAATCTAAGTGAACAATTTAATAGAAATAATGGATTTATGCAAGGAGCAGAAAAGTTGACTTGGAGTTATTGTGCTTTATGGGATGCCATTTATTGGCGATCGCAGGTTTTGAGTAAACTCTCATAAAGAAAAGTGATTTGTTTCTTTCCCCCCCGCCGCCCCGCAGATATATGGCAGAATATAGAAAAGGTATATATGGGTAGGTAGGACTATTATAAACTTTATTTATCCATGTTATTTACTGTTTCAAAAATTGTAACGTTTTTAAACCGTGAATCGTCTGTATTTGAATAACACTTGCGTGATCGGTCAAATAATTCATCCAGCTCCTCTTTGCTCAAATTGAATTTATTATCCTTGCCATCAACTTCTTCTTCTTCTTTTTCTTCCTCTTTTTCTTCTTCTTGTCGGTATCTAAAGTTATGTTTACTCATTTCAAGTAATTCTTTTAGATCCACTTCTAATTCCTTACCGTCATCGTTGCCAATCATTTGCTTTATCTTGTTGAACTTAAACTCACCCATTTGTATAACCAACTTCTCCAAAAACCGTTTCGAGCTACTTTTGCTTATTAAAATCTCTTCAATTGAATCGCGAACAACAAATCTAAATATCTTGACAGGTTTAGTTTGTCCAATTCTATGTACACGATCAATTGCTTGTAAATCCATTTGTGGGTTCCAATCATTATCAAATAGTATAACAGTGTCGGCACCTACCAAATTGATTCCAAGACCTCCTGCTCTAGTAGATAGTAGGAAAACTTTGAATGGAGAAGTAGCGTCATTGAACAACTGAATTTGTTCTTCTCTTTCCTGTTGAGGTGTAGATCCGTCTAATCTACATACTTCAAAGCCTTTCCATGTTAGCCAGTCATGGATCAAATCCAAAACTTTTGTAAATTGGGAAAACAAAAGACACTTGTGGTGTTGCCTCGAAGTGATTAATGGTATTAGTATCACTTCCAATGCTTGAAATTTACATGAATTTTCAACCAATTTTGTCATAAACTGGGTGTCATGTTGGCTATCAATGGGGAATGGCTCATAGTATAGGTATGGCGAGTTACATATATTTCGTAACTGAATCAATCTTAGTGCTTGCAAATTAAGATGCTTTATGCGCGAGGTGATTTTCTTATATAACGTGGTTAAAATGAGTTGTTGTTTATCTCTTTTTGTTTTAAGTTTAGGGAGTTGTAAAAGCACTTGTTCATATGTTTCATTTGAAGCATCATCATCATCATCATCATCATCATCATCATCAACAGCTGCTTCATCCTCATAAAACTCTTCTTCAGAGTCCTCTTCTTGATAAGATATTTTCTTTAAAAGTCGTTTCTTTGTCGGGTCGGTACTTTTCTTTGCCTTTAAGAATACATCTATGATATTTCTATCCCTTCCAGTAAACAAATCACAATGGTTATATTCAATATATTCTTTTAAATTACTTTCAATTAACCCTGCTTGTAGTTGGCCATTTAAAGCATCCAAATAAATCTTTTTCTGCAAATTAGTTAAAGGGATATGAATCAAGTATTCCTTTTTAGGTGGCAAGTCCCTAATAACGTCCTTTTTCAATCTTCTCAATATAAATGGCTTTAAAATGGTATGCAAGTTTTTAATCAAAGTTTCTTGAATATTATACTTTATCAATTTTCTTGTTTCTTCATCTTGTTCCTCATCTTGTTCAAATTTAGTCAATTCATCAAAATTGAACCATTGTTGAAACAATTCTAAATCATGGAAAATGTCAGGAAGGATAAAGTTCAACAAGGACCACAATTCATTCAAGTTATTTTGTAATGGAGTACCCGTGATTAATAATCTATTTGTGACTACTAGTTTTTTCAAAACTTTTATTAATAAACATTGATTATTTTTTAATCTATGTCCTTCATCAACTATAAGATACTGCCAGTTTATAGCGGAAAACTTGCTAAAGTCTTTAATTGATATTTCATAAGATGTGATGACGATATTGGCTTTTGTTGTGAATAAATCAATCCTACTTCTTTCCTGTTTTGAGCCTGAATATTTCAAAACTTTAATCTTTGGAGCAAATCTGGTGATTTCGTTAAACCAATTAGACAAAGTCAGTAAAGGCACCACCACTAGAAAAGGTCCTTTTAGCCCGTTTTCAATCAAGAAACTGAGAAACGCAATACATTGCAATGTCTTACCCAACCCCATTTCATCTGCAAGTATACCATTTAGCCCATTTTGGTACAAGGTGACCAACCATTCTAGTCCATCTAATTGGTAATTTTTCAAAGTACCACCTGTGATCAACTTTGGCTGTTTTTGTTGTTGTTGTTGCTGCTGCTGCTGCTCATCAACAGTTGAATGATAACTTTGAGATTTTTCAATCTGGTCTCTAGTTGTTTTTGTTGATTCTGAAATCTTTGTAGACATCATAGCAACAATATCTCTTTTAGGCTGTTTTAGTTTTCTATTGTTTGTTTTCCTCCTTTTCTTCTTCTGTTGTGATACATCATCATTATCGTCATTATCATCATTGGTGACCACCGCCTTTTCTTGTGGTTGCTTTTGATTTTCCAATGTTGTTTGCAAGATATTGTCAGCGATGATCTTGGAATATATTTGTGATTTCTCGATCAAGTTGTTTAGCCTATCCAACTTACGCTTTTTAGAGAGTCTGTTGAATTCGTCCTGTTCATTTGAATAAACAAGGCTGTTTTCTTGTTTCGATTGTAATTCTTCAACTAACGATTTCAAACTTGTTTCATCCTCCTCGTCTGATAGCATAGCTACAGAGGATATCATTTTTTCCCCTCTAGACTTACACAGAGTAGCAAGAGCTCTAGCTGGAGCTCGCAGACTAGTAAAGAGCTAAGGAAGAAGAGTTTGGCAACACCTTTGGCAACCAATTTTTTACAACCAAATTTTTACAACCAAATTTTTTACAACCAAATTTGCTTGATAACGCGTCGCATCACGTGATATGAATCCGAGCGACACTATCGAGCAGAGCGAGATAGTGGAGCAGCACTTGCTAGAGCAGCACTTACTAGCTTGTTGCTCTACTTACTAGCTTGTTGCTCTACTTACTAGCTTGTTGCTCTACTTACTAGCTTGTTGCTCTACTTACTAGCTTGTTGCTCTACTTACTAGCTTGTTGCTCTACTTACTAGCTTGTTGCTCTACTATCTCGCTCTGCTCGATAGTGTTGTAACACTGACTAGCTGCCTACTATAGAGCTGACTGCCACTGACACTGAGCACTCGGCTTCTTTTTTTCCTCCCGTGTGTTTTAGAATACATTTTTATTAATAGATGATAGAAGATAGAAGATGAAGGTAGATTGGTTTGCAATGTCTTTGCTCCTCTAACAACACTATCGAGCAGAGCGAGATAGTGGAGCACCACTGATATATTCACTCTCTATTCATATACACTCTCTACTCCTCTAGTCACTCTCTACTCCTCTATTCACTTTCTACTCTTTTAGTCACTCTCTACTCCTCTATTCACTTTCTACTCCTCTATTCACTTTCTACTAGTCTCTATTATATATACTCTTTACACTAACTCAGCTCTTTACTCTACACTATTTTTATATCTTCTTTTTTTTGTAATTGAGTTACTCTCTATATAACTGCCCTTATTCATACTCTCCTCTACTCTAGTTTCTCCTCCCCTACTTTGATTTCCTTTAGTCTCTTTTCCCCTACTCTCCTCCCTTTACTCTTTTTTAGTGGAGCAACACTCAGTAGCTTGTTACAACACTATCGACCAGAGCGAGATAGTGTTGTTTGATAGTGGAGCAACACTTTATGTCTTGTTACAACACTATCGACCAGAGCGAGATAGTGTTGTTTGATAGAGTTGTTCGATAGAGTTGCTCGATAGAGTTGCTCGATAGAGTTGCTCGATAGAGTTGTTCGATAGTGTTCTTCGATAGAGTTGTTCGATAGTGGAGCAACACTTTATGTCTTGTTACAACACTATCTCGCTGTGCTCGATAGTGTTGCTCGATAGAGTTGTCCGATAGTGTTGCTCGATAGTTTTGCTCGATAGTGGAGGGGAAAGTGATTATAGATTAAATATGCATAATAAGTGATTGTGTATTGATTATATGCATAATGAGTATACTGATTACATGCATAATTTGTAGTATACTGAATAAAGTAAAAGAACAATTAGATTAAATAAGTTGATAAACAGATATAGGAGCTAACACTAAACTTTTACAACTGAAGCTGCATTCACGATATTATTGAGCGGAGCGAGATAGTGGGACAGCTTTTAGCACAACAGATACAAAGTGTCTGTGTAGTCCACTATCGAGCAACACTATCTCGCTCAAGCAGAGCGAGGTAGTGTTGTAACAAGACATAAAGTGTGTGTAGTCCACTATCTCGCTCCGCTCGATAGTGGTTTGCATTCTTTCTGTATTACGGCTAAAAACTGCATTCTGTCTAAAAGTATTACAGCTAAAAACTTATTTACACTAATAAATACGCCCATATATACGAAGATTCTGCTCAATAGTGTCAGATAGTATCAATCGGTGTTGCTCCACTATCTCGCTCTGCTCGATAGTGTCGGTCGCTCTGCTCGATAAGGTCAGATAGTGTCAATCAGTGTTGCTCCACTATCTCGCTCTGCTCGATAGTGTCGCACGTGTCGCACGTGTGTCTTATTATAATTTATAAAGTTTGTGTTATGTAATACATCCTAGGCATCCCTTTGCAAACCCCTGAATCCAATCACGTGATCAGAAACAACTCACATACCGCTCACTACCATCTACTATTTCACTTACTATTTTCTACTCAGTACTTAGTACTCACTCTTTTCTCTTCTCTCTTATCTCTTCTCTTCTCTCCTCAGTACTCAGTACTTAGTACTCTCTCTTCTCTCTTCTCTCTTCTCTCTTCTCTCTTCTCTCTTCTCTCTTCTCTTTTTCCTTTTCTCTAGTGTCGCGTTGTAGTAAAATGTATTTAGATCATGTATATAGTCATAGTGACGTCAACATTTATTACGACTTTTCGTGCCACAAACACAATCACGTGAAACATCTCTATTGTGGTTATTAGATAATATATTACACTATTAACTTGGCAACGATTAGATAATTCAAAGTAATATTGGTGACATAATAGTGATGACATAATAAAAAATAGTTTATATTTTGGTGCTTTTTTTAAGCTTTACATCGGTGATGAATCCCCGTCGAGATAATCATCCTCGCCAAAGCCAATCACAATCGCCCAACTCCTTCTATTGTCATTCCTCGTCATATTCTTCCTCCTTCATTCCCCCCAGTTTCATAGACCTTATTAATGTTACTTTTCTCGTCTCGGACTTGTTTTTTTTTTACATTTTCTTTTCCTTTTTCTTGTTGGACATTGACATTCGCAGCCAAGCAGTGGGTCGTAATTTTAAGACGGTAGCTGTGGTAAACTGTCGCTACGCAGGGTGGGATTTCGTCCTAATCTGTACAAAACTCTTTTATCAACATCTCATCGACTCATGACTTTATTTTTCTTTTAAATTGAAACTTGCATATATATATATATATATATATATATATATATATCTCGATCCATTATCTGCTTTAGGCTTTCTCTAGCTCCTCCCTCACTCTTCTCTCCCTATTGGCTCTCTCTTACATTATCAATTCAAAAACCTCTAGTTAAAAGTGTTGCGGTGGATCTTAAGTAAAAGGTACATGACAAGCAATTGGCTTCATTCACCTACAACCACAAAAAGAGTATCTTCATCTTCATTATCCACAGTATCTTCATCCTTATCCACAGTATCTTCTTCATCATCAATTTCCACCACATCAACAAATCTAACTAATACAAGTCCAAGCCCTCCCACTACAAAATCGCTTCATTGTACCTGTTCAAATATGGGTAGAGAAAATATCTTGCATTATTTACAAGAACACCTTCATGAACCAGTAAAGGAGTTGGAAATCTCTCCAAATAACGACGAAAATTGCAATAATAATGATAACGACAAATTAGAGGAACAACAGCAGCAGCAGAATCTGCAGTTCCTGGTGCCATCGCGCCCTAAAAGAATTACTTCCACAACATATTCAAACAGCCCATTCACACTTTCCCCAGAATCAACCATCAATGACTATTTAAACAATAACAAATACTACATCGACTCGATAAAATACAACTACGGCAATCAGATTTTCGACATCAACAGTCAAGGACAATCACCACATACTTTGTGGATAGGATGCTGTGATTCAAGAGCAGGTGAGCAAAGTTTATCAACGCTACCGGGAGAAATCTTTGTCCACCGTAATATTGCCAATATCATCAATCCAAACGATATAAATTCGCAAGGCGTCATTCAGTTTGCAATTGATGTTTTACAAGTACGTAAAGTAATTGTATGTGGTCATACGGATTGCGGTGGTATTTGGGCGTCTTTGTCCTCAAAAAAGATTGGCGGTGTCTTGGATTTGTGGTTGAACCCAATTAGACATATTAGAGCCCATAATCTCAAGTTGTTGAACGAGTATAATTCCGATCCAAAAGGTAGAGCAAAGAAATTGGCCGAATTGAATGTAGCTAGCTCAGTTCTTGCTTTGAAAAGACACCCTTCAGCTTCATTGGCTTTGAAACAGGGGAAAATCGAAGTATGGGGAATGATGTATGATGTCTCCACTGGTTATTTATCTGAAGTCGAAGTGCCTAAAGACGATTTTGAGGACTTGTTCCATGTGCATGATAATGATCATGATGACGATGATTACAACCCTCATTAGAGGAGAATGATACTACAACAATATTATAGATTAATAGAAATCGAAGTAAAAAAATTTGCAAACTTCTTCTATGGTGCTACAACTATTTCCTCTCGTAAGTAAAACTATCGAGCGAAGCGAGTAAATGGAGCACATCAGAGTGGAGCACATTAGAATGGAGCACATTAGCAACTTAGCGACACTATCGAGCTGACTTTACCCTTTTTCTCTCCAGTTCAAGTGGTATCCCATTTCAACTTGAACCTGCCTTCAGGCACTTGGTAATTGGTAATTGCTTCAATGACTCCATCAACAGAATCTGCAATCTGGATAATCTCACCATTTTTACTCGAAACAAATCCACAAGATATGCTATTCTTGATAAAGGTGACAAAACTATCGAAATACCCATCAATGTTAAACACTACAATTGGTTTATTGTGAATGTTGAGTTGATTCCAAGTAACAATCTCCATCAATTCTTCAATGGTACCGTATCCTCCAGGTAGTGCAACAAACGCAGTAGCTTCTTGTGCCATTAACTTCTTTCTCGTATGCATATCTTTGACTAGAGTAGTTTTGCCATACTTTTCGGAATCAGGGATAGGTGTGCTGCCGTCATGATCATCAATAGATTCTTTTGCTTTAGGCTCAATGTCATCTTTTCTTTCCCTAGAGATTAACGCCTCGGGAATGATTCCGTGGACATAACCACCATTGCCGGCACATCCGTTAGCCACTGCACCCATTAATCCAGTAGATCCTCCACCATAAACTAATCCCCATGATTTGGATGCTAGTTTAACACCGAGTTGCTTTGCTGATTCAGTGAAAATGGGCTTATTTCCAGAGGAAGAGCCGCAAAACACACATACAATAGTAGAAGCAGCTGTCTCTAAGGAGGTAGCTTCTATATTCTGAGTCATTGTTCTAGAAAAAAAGGGGGGGGAGGTCAAAAATTGGTTTCAAAGTCTAGGGTGCTCAGATTTCTTTTATTTACTTGTATCAATTTTTCAATGTTTATCGTTACAAGTAAGATGTGTAATCTATCATTGCAAAATTGCAATGACTCTGAAAAATCAACAGACACTATCGACGACACTATCGAGCGAAGCGAGATAGTGGAGCACACTAGCTGTCACCGTCACTAGGGAGCGAAGCGATAAACGAGATATATAACTACACTAGCGATGTGAAAGCGAAGGTAGTGTCGGTGCGAGCTAGTGTGCTCTACTATCAAGCGAAGCGAGATAGTGTGACAGCTAGTGTGCTCTACTATCAAGCGAAGCGAGATAGTGTGACAGCTAGTGTGCTCTACTATCAAGCGAAGCGAGATAGTGTGACAGCTAGTATCGTGGTTCTCTACTATAACTACAATAGCGGTGTGAAAGCGACGCTAGTGTTGGTGACAGCTAGTATCGTGGCTCTCTACTATAACTACAATAGCGGTGTGAAAGCGACGCTAGTGTTGGTGACAGCTAGTATCGTGGCTCTCTACTATAACTACAATAGCGGTGTGAAAGCGACGCTAGTGTTGGTGACAGCTAGTATCGTGGCTCTCTACTATAACTACAATAGCGGTGTGAAAGCGACGCTAGTGTTGGTGACAGCTAGTGTGCTCTACTATTGAGCGAAACGAGATGGTGTCGGTGCCAGCTAGTGTGCTCCACTATCTCGCTTCGCTCGATAGTGTCGTCGATAGTGTCGTCGATAGTGTCGGTCAATAGTGTTGGTGCCAGCTAATGTGCTCCACTATCTCGCTTCGCTCGATAGTGTCGCTCGATAGTGTCGCTCGATAGTGACACGTGACATGCCTAATCACCTGGTTTCCCGTTACACTTCTTTGGATAATAGCTTTACCTAAAAAAGCACAGTACGTCATAATACAACAAGTCTCTGTGAAAGCATCAAGATAATTGTCAAAAGAACGATTATCGTCAAGGGGGAAAACGCCCACAACCAATATTATCTTGTCTACCGCCGGCTTTTCAAATCAAGCATCAGAATTTCTGTTCTCTAGCCGCTATTGGCCCTTACTGTTCTCCGCCCTCTTGTCCCGCGCTGCTGCATACGCATGAACTAAAATCAAGGGGAGGGGCACATTGCATATATCCATTATTGCTCAAACACTGATTGCAAAAAGAAGCAGGAAATGTTGAACATACGAAGATTATACCACCGATTTCTACAACGAGCGACGTCTTGCTTGTCGTCACTAAAACCCATCCTTGTGCGAGCTTACAATAAAAAGTATTCTAATCAACATATTGCTTCAATATTCGCCCTATTCACCCTACTTACCTTTTATCACTTTTTCCTAAATGCAAGAAAATCATTTCGGATATTCCCCCAAACTAATGATTCGATAGTGGCCATAGACACACTCCCACATTATCAAAGGCTCTTGGAGCTGGAAAAACAAGCTCCCTTCCCATTAAGTGATTCTTTCCTTGAGAATACCGAATTTGATTCAATTTCATTAAGGACATTTACTGATCCTTACCCGCTAATAGTAGGAAAACCTCAAACTTATGCTTTTGAAGCAAACTTTATGTGCTCAGAGTTGGAATTTGAAGATACGTTTGAAAAATCTTCTCAAGTCTACCTCAATGCAGATTTCGAATACTTTCTCATGAAATTAAATGAGATCAAAGAGTATAGCAAATTATTGACTCAAGCTAGGAAACGATTCAAACCAACTATTCCTGAAAAACATCAATGGTTTAGATTCGGCGGATCGAGTGTTTGGTTGCCCAATCTTGGTGTTCATTATATGGTTAGTAGAGTCTTGTATTCTCCGCTGGGGATCCCCAACAAAGCATATGTTTCTTTTTTGTATATTCAAATATTCGACCAAAATTGGAAAGAGTTACCAAAGGGCACAAAATTTACCATACCTTTTGAAGAGAGGAAAACCTTGTACCATACGAATATAGATGGCACTTTCCAAACTTATCAAAGTGACCCAAAATTAAATTTCAAGGTTGTTGAGTATCCTCAAGTCTTGCCAATCCCAATCGATTATTCCTTGCATACGTCGAGCGGAAAGTACTATTATGGACCAGAAGACCCCAGGATTATACTACGTTCCAACCCCTTTGGGTTTGACGAGCCTTTGATTGTATTTAATATGAAAGATTTGAAGTTGGCAAAAAGAACAATGTTTCGATATTTGCCCTTTTCCAACAATCTTCAAGTCTTTCGGAAACGAAATGAACCATATGCTTATATCGAGAAAAATTGGACCCCCTTTGTTAGTCTTAGTCCTCATTCAAATTCCAAAGGTAAGATACACTTCATATACACAATTGTGCCATTGAGCATACTTATATGTGATATACAACTGGGCCTATGTGATTTCTTACAGAAACCAGTAAAAAAGAATTTCAACTATGTAGGCGCTCTAAGAGGCGGCACACAGCTCACCCCTTTACCGTTGGCAAACCTCCCTGCTGCTATAATCAATCAGCTCAACATTCCTTCAAATAGACAAGTATACCTCGGTTGGGCAAGAGCCCATTTGAATAATTGTGGATGTGGTGAGTCCATGTATCGACCAAATATGGTTTTATTAGTTGAAGATTATGACAAAGAAAGTGACAAGTTTTATTACAAGATGGGTGATGTCTCCTCGTATTTCGATTTTGGAGCACATGTGCCGCCATGGAGTGATCACAGTCAAGTTGATCAAGGAACAGGAGATGAAGCTAGTATCGAGAATTTGCAGTGTCATGGGAGAAACGTCCTCATACCAAACTCAATTGCATATTGGGAAATATCGAGTGTGCTGAAGAATGATAAAACGTATTACCACTTCAAGGATCTCACCGTTTCCAGTGCAGACGCCTTATTGTTTAACGATTACATGGGCGTGACACTTTCAGGAGCAGATCAGGATGTGTCGATAGTTCATCTTCGAGGATTACTAAACTACGTGATTAAACTACCTAGCTTATTTGATGAGGAGACCGTGGTTAGTCTGAACGATGGGTTGTTACTTCGTGGCTCAGACTGGAATAACAAATGTGCTATGTATTCAAGTAAAGAGTTTTGTAAGGAGTACGGTTTGAGATATGGAGGGGGCAACACTGACTGACACTAACCTACACTGACCTACACTATCGACCAGAGCGAGATAGTGGAGCAACACTGACTAGCTGTCATCGACACTTGGTAGCTTGTTGCAACACTCTCGCTCTTCTATAGTACCTTCTTCTATATTACCTTCTTCTATATTATTTTCTTCTATATCACCTTTCTTCTATATTATTTTCTTCTATGGTACCTTCTTCTATGGTACCTTCTTCTATATTACCTTCTTCTATATTACCTTCTTCTATGGTACCTTCTTCTATAGTACCTTCTTCTATAGTATTAAGCTATATTGACAGTTGGTAGCATGTCTCATATATATTTACCTTCGATAGCCGAGATTTGATTTCTATTGTTGCAAAATTTTTAGTTGCGAAAAAAAAAAAAAAATATTAATTATGGAACTGGTCTTTGAACAGTATGCTTTTGCCGTGCATTAATAGTCGATATAGGAATTGGGCCCCCCAAACCCCAATTAATTGTCATGAGAAAAGAAGAAAATATAATGAAGGCGGTATTCCTTGATTTTCTTGTGTATCAGAATAAAAGGTCAAGGTCAATTTGAACCTCTAAAAAGTCATGGACAAAGAGAAATACTCATTTGAAGCTAACTTCAATGATTCGGAGCTCATCTTTTCATCAAGTAATGAGTCAGAGGTACCAGTAGATTACACGCCACAATATGGTGCTCGCCAGAAACCGAGATCTGGTAGTATTCAATCGGAGGAAAAACACCTCAACGACAAGGAGATTTTCTCCATCCGTCAGATATATGGAGATCTCGATAGTGATGAGATTAATTTACAACGTACAGCAACAAGACAAACCATATTAAGTGAACTAGAAAGCAGGATTGTTGATAATACAGATGACGACCAAAAGCTGCAGCACGTTTTCGATAATGGAGGGGTTATTGAAGATCAAATATTACCCATTCATCAACATGGCAAAGAGTTTAATAAAATTGACCCCGAGTTGATTACGTGGCAAGGGTCTGAAGATCCAGAAGATCCCAGAAATTGGGATATAAGATTGAAAATATTCCTTTTGGGATTTGTTTCCTTATACGCAATGGTCGCCCCCATGTCTTCAAGTATGCTTTCACCAGCAATGAGTAAAATCAGTCAAGAATTTGACATATCGTCACCGGTAATGCAAGCTATGGTTGTATCTATTCAAATTCTTGCTTGGGCTTTCGGACCACTATTGATTGCGCCACTTTCAGAACACGATAACATCGGTAGGAAGTTGGTTCTTGATATATCTTGTTGGATGTCATTATTTTTCAACCTTGGATGTGCTTTTAGTGATAATACTTTACAAATGATGGTTTGTAGATTCATTGGAGGACTATTTGGTTGTGTTCCCATGAATGTTTGTGCAGGTGTTATTTCCGATTTATTTGATTCTCACTCGAGAAACGCAGCATTAGCTGGATACTCCTTGGTTCCATTACTTGGACCAGTCATTGCTCCATTGATGTCGGGGTTCATTGTTGATCATATGCAATGGAGATGGTGTTTTTATATTTTGTGTATCTTTAACGGAACGGTTGCTATATTGGCTACTTTGTTGTTTAAGGAAACTTATGCACCAACATTGCTCAAAAGAAAAGCTCAAAGATTGGCTAAAGCGACAGGCAACTCCAATTTACATACAATTTACGAAATAACCAATGATGGGGAAACTACGTGGGCAAGATTATTGCTATGCATGACTAGACCTATTGAGTTACTATTCACTCACCCAATGGTTATTGGCTTAGGTTCATTCATGGCGTTCACTTATGGATTCATGTATCTAATGATTGTTACATTTCCTCGAATCTTTGAAAAACAGTATGGCTATAGTAAAAGTATTACTGGGCTAATGTATTTACCAATGGGCATTGGGTTTATCTTGGGAGTTATATTCTGGACATTCATGGTTGGAAAAGTTTATACAAGATTAACAAAACAAAATCATGGCATTCCCAAACCTGAATTCCGCCTACCTTGTCTTATAGCGTGTGCCGTATTTATACCCGTTGGACTTGTATGGTTCGGGTGGTCGGCTGAAAAAGGTTTGCATTGGATAATGCCCGGTATTGGATCAGCCATATTTGCATTTGGGTTGGTTTGCGTATTTCAAACAATTCAAAATTATCTCATCGATATGAATGTTAGATTTGCTGCTAGTTCAGTTGCCGCTGCTGCATTGTTCAGACTGATTTTTGGATACACGTTCCCTTTATTTGCTCTGAAAATGTACGCAGCACTAGGGTATGGTTGGGCAAACACAATGTGTGCTTTTATTGGCATACTCTTGGGAGTACCTTTCCCAGTATTTTGTTACTTGTACGGTGAAAGATTAAGAGAAGGGTATAACAAGAAATTCGAGGCTAAACAAAAAAGGAGAGATCAAAAGAATTTGGAAAGATTGAGAAAGAAAAACTGCAGCAAATAGAAGAGAGAGGGGGGGGGGGGGGTCGGGCCGTTAGTAGACTGGTATAGATTGTACGAACATTATAGATTTTTGAACTTTTGCCTAGAGGGGTCATCTCATCTCATCTCATCTCATCTCATCTCATCTCGTCTCTCTCTTTTTTGTTTTTGGCGGGGACGCTACCATGTGTTATCGGTATTTGAAAAATTGGAAATCAAATTACCCGCGCTCCCTCTTTGAAGGGGCCTTTTACTCGAGTACAAGGCAATAGAATATCCTCATTGGTACAAGTAATGACGTCGACGGCTGAACTTCAGCTACCGCAGCTTATAGATCTTCTAAAACTTGAAACGCTTGAGCCGTTTCCGCTTCCAAACAAGCTCAGTTCTCTTCCGAACTCGCAATTTAGCGAGTTCACCGAAAACCGGCAATTGATTACCGGGTATATTTCTCAACTAAACAACTATAAAACAAAGCTTGATGAAATCAAAACCACTTTGGCTGAGATATCTCAAGCTATTCTCAAAACGCAGATTCGTGACTATCTCATCCCGAGGTACCAAGAGTTAATTCTTCATATTACAGAACAAATCTCAAAATTGACTCAGCTATATAACGAATTTCTCAATTTGGAAACTATTCAATATCAATTGTTATCATCCACTTTCAATTTGGACACATTGAAATTGAAATTCAAGAAAATGATTGAAAAAAATGACCTGGAGAGTATTGATATAGCCAGGGGCTTTGATGGTGGTGGTAGTGATGATGCAAATATGGTGAAAATGTTACTGGAATTTAGAAAGAGTAGAAAGTTATATCATTTCAGAAAGGAGAAGTTGAATCGATGGCAAGAAGAAAGAGTTGGTGGATTTATGTAATCTGATGAAGGACCTCTTTTATATACAAATAATAATACATCGTTAAAATTAAAAAAAATTAAAAAATACAAGAGAAAGAAAGAAATAAAGAAAGACAAAGAACAAATAGACCCCACTCCCCCATCCTATTTGTTTCTCAATAAGCTTTGTTCAATCAAGTCGATGTTACTCTCAACCTCTTCAAATTTCATCCCGCAACTAAGGGAAATCAATTTACAATACTTGATCAAAATGTTCTCTTGATCTGCAGCATATTTTTCAATAATTGAAGAGTTTCCTGTCGATGCCCCCTTTTCCTTTTCATTGGATTGAGCAGATCTTGAGTCCGAGTTCGAATATGAGTCCTTGGGCGCTAGTGGGACATGAACAGTCTCGACTAGTATCCTATTAACCAATTCTCTTTTCTTTGAAATTTCTAATTGAAGTAACTTGGTTAAAGCAAATTGATTTAAATCAGAATCATGAGAATCAACACCATTGTTCTCCTTACCCTGACCATTCTCCAAAGAAAACTGTTCCAAATGTTTTGCAATTTCAAATTCTCTAGCGTTCTTATACTTTTTCAAAATAATTAATAACTCTTCTCTTTTGTGGAGTATTTGAAACGTCAAATCGTTGATCAATCGATATATTTCTTCTTGAATAATCTGATCCCTTTTAAAGTTAATATTGTACGTGTCAATTATCAACTCTGACGAATTTTGAGAATCTTGGCTCATAGAGTCATCCTTGATCTTGGCGCAATTATCAACTAAATCATCAATAAGACTCTCCAATTTGAACAAGGCCAAAATATCTCGTTGTGAACTTAATTTGATTTCATTCACTCGGTTAAGAATCTTAAAATATGTAAGAGCAAGCTCGTCCTTTTCATTCAATTCCTGGTTTATCACATAGGATAGTTGTGTCATTTTCTCCGTTATGTCATTGGCAGTGTTGTTGTACAAATTAATCGCAATTTTGGAATTGTTGATCAGCACATCAAATGAAGCAGGCCTTATATCCTTGTTCTCTTCCAACACATTTGATCTCCCTCCTTCACGATCTCCCTCCTGTTCATAGTCGTCGTCACCACCGCCACCGCCATCATCTTTATCATAATCCAGACTTTGATCTAATCTAAGCACATAATTGTGTGACGCCAAATAATCTTCTACCGTGCATGAAACCAAATTCCGTAAGTTGAAATTGATAAACTTGTGATAATTGATAAAAAGCTTAATTAGCTTTTTTTGAAGGTTGTAGGCTGCAATGTGGAACGCAGTATTTCCATCTGAATCTTGATGATTTATAAACTTGGTAATAAGCTCGGCTCTTTCCTCGTCTATTGTATCCTCATCTTCTCCTCTTCCTCGTTCTCCTCCTCCTCCTCCTTCCTCGTCTTCTCTTTCTTCTTTTCTCCTGTGTTGATTATTCCCACCACCGCCTGTAACTAAACTCTTCAACAACACATCTAAATAATATGCTGCAATTTTCTCCTTTTTACTCTCAATAATATGATGTAGTACTGTTTTCCCGCCCGAATCAACTAAAATCAACGAATCAAACAATATATTCAACAACTGCTCAAAGTTACCCAACTGGTAACAATTATTGAACTTGACCAGAAACATCAATGGAGTTTCTCCGTGATTGTTTCTGATATTGAAATTTATTTCACTCTTGAATTTATCAAGCAAGAAATTAATAATGGTTAAATTACCCATCGAACAAGCCCAATGGAAAATAGTATTACTATCATTATCAATAGGTTGGTTTATATGAATTCTGGAAACAGGATGTGGTGGATTTAAAATCTTTTCTGGTATGATATCATTTGATCGTACTTTATCATCTTCTAAAAAATATGACAACAAATTGGCAAAATAATCATTATAAATTTGATTTTCTTGAGACAAGTTGATACTCGGTTGATGATACGCCTGAAACAATAACTCGCCACCATGACCACCATTGGTATGCCCATTATGTAGCTGATGGTTGTACTTTTCAAATGCGTTTCGCGATACTCCAAAAAGCTCCTTACTAGTTAATAAGTCAGCTTGTGTTGTGAAATCGCCATTATTTAATCTCAGGTTGGTGAACTTACTCCTCTTCAATGATGCTCCGTTTCGATCTGGTCCTGCATCTTCATCTTCATCAGTATCTACAGAAGCAAGATCTTCTTGTTTCAAATGCATATTTGATGCAATCGTATGTAGAGCGTCTTGCTCTGTATTTTGTCTACTTATACCACAAGACCCTAGAGCGGTGGAAACATTACTTGCTGCATAGGAACTATTATTATACCCACCAACTAATACAGTATCTGAATGTTTAAGACTTGGCGCAGAGTTCAATGTAGACCCCTTGGGTCGTCCTCGTTTTCTAGGTGCTGACGCAGTTGTTGATGTAGTTTGATTTGTAGTTTTTGCTGTTCTAGCAGCTGTTTTTGTTGTTGCTGTTGTTGCTGTTGTTGTTGTTGGTGCTGCTGCTGTTTGTCGCTTAGATCTAGACGCCAGCGCTTTTGAGTCCGTTTTCCTATTCAAAGAAGCTTGTCGTTTTTCGACATTCAAGGCACTTGCATGATTGTGTTTTGGTGCAGGCGGAGGAGTTTCTGTTTCTCCTTCGACATATTTAAAGTCGAATATCGGTTTTAGCAAATCGTAAACACTATAGTTTCGGGCAATTGTTGCGCCCAAGTCGAGTGGGACATAGGTACCCTGGTATTTCCCGTACCCGCCTTGTACCTTCTCGTGTATACCTGTTTGGACGTCTTTTTCCAAGATTCTTGTCCTCTTGGCTTTTGGTAATTTAGCGATTTTGAGTATATGGGTTGCATTGATCCACGAATCCAGCTTACGTCGCATTATAGGACCTTCAGCGGTTACAAACTCAAACACGGGGACATTTGAGTACTTGGCTGAGTATATTTGCTTATTATCTGACATAGCTCAACCTTTAGGGGAATGGGGGGGGGACAAAACAAACAAGGCACTGAAAATAATAAACAAAAAAAGGGAAGGGTAAAACGTGCGAGGCAGGGGAAGTGGAGGGGGGAAGCGGCGGCAAAATAGCAAAATGTACCAACAAATAAGAACAATTCTTATCTCTTATCACCTTGTTTCTATCTCCTTGAAACCGTCCTTTCTCTGTTTGTTGTATACTTTTCTATTTGGTATAGATTTCAACCCTTGGGCTTTAATGCTTGAAGAAAATCATTAAACAAAATTTCGCTTTTGTTTTTGATTTGGTTTTTTTTCTGAGGCTGGCACGAACTGTGGGGCGAGGCCCCTGGCCTATTGGACCACTGGACCACGCTAGTGGGCCAGGGGGCCAACCGAACAGCGCCAATGGGCCAGGGGGGCAACCGAGCAGCACCAATGGGCCAACCGAGTAACACCAATAGAGTAACCCCAGTAGAGTAGAACTTAGTAGAGTAACCCCAATGGAGTAGAACACAGTAGAGTAGATCCCAGTAGAGTAACCCCAGTAGAGTAAATCCCAGTAGAGTAACCTCAGTAGAGTAAATCCCAGTTGAGTAGAACCCGGTAGAGCAACCCCAGTAGAGTAGAACCCAGTAGAGTA